TCAAAATTTCAGCTTATGAGTTTCTCCAGAAGTGTAGATTTCTATATCTGTTATTGTTATAAAACCACCTAGCTGCTTGGAAATTTTAGTATACTTAGTTTTGACTTGTCCTACAATTTATTGTTTCCTCATCACGTTTATATAGTTAGGCAAACCCAGGACGCTCGTTACAATACTATTAGACTATTCTATAGATCTTAAAAACAACGTAGACCATATTACACAAAAACACTTTAAAATCTTTGCATACATCTATATAAGAAAACATCTTTATAATTACCATCTGTTGCCTTGCAGAGATCTAGTCTCTGCTCTACTGAGTGCACTCTTCTAATGTTTAGTGTTGTCAGTGACAAAACCATATTCATTGAGTTGAGTTGAGTTCAGTGTCTTTTATAAGTAAACAACTGAATAACCAACAACTGTTGGGTCTCTGTAAATAATGTTATGAGTTCGATCTACACCTGCTCTATTTGGAAAGTGTCCTGAGATAACTTCTGTTATGAATTGGCGCTATACAAATAAAATTTAATTGAATTGAATTGAATAAAAAATGTGCAAAAAAAAAAAATCTATCCAAATTTCTTTAGTAAGGGTCAACCTTGCAGTTAAGATTTGTTACTGGCTTGCTATTTTATTACTTTAGGGACACCTGCTGTAGCTACATCCAATATAACACCTTCCACCCCCTACATACATTAATCATTAGTAGGGGATGATAAAACTATTAGAAATAACTTTCAATATTATGCAGTACAGTTAAGCAGCACCAGAAAATTACTGTTTTAAAAATTATAATTTAGTCAAATAAATACTTCTCTGACACTATGGTAAAAAATAAAAAAATAAATAAAAAAATAAATATGTGGAATAGAGAACCTACAAAGCCATGTTCATATCAAATAACTTAATAGCTTGGCTCAAGCACTATGATTACTATGCTAAAATCCTGTGCTGTTTAAAATTGAGTATGTCAGGTATGCGCAGTGATAAACAATCTTGTTGAATACTTTATGTCCTATACTTTGGGCTGGTCTCAGTCTGCGCTGAGAGGGGGCTTTGCCGCTATAGGGAGAAGGACTTGCATCCCAGTGTGTTATTGGCAGTTTTTATGTGATCCACTACTCTTTTTGTCCAATTCACTTGTCTTTGTACAGTATTGCTCACGGCTAGGAATCTACAGATATCTACCAATTTGATTCTGATTCAGGGTGCTATGATTCAGACAAAACTATTTCTGATGCGTCTGGATACATGTCAATTTGTATCTCTATTTGTTACTGTAGAACCACATTAAAAATAACACAATAATTGTTATCAATCACGAATAAAGTCTGGTGAATTTACTTACATTAACATTTACCACGACAGAAGTATGGCAACTGGCATTGAAATAATATGGCATGTTTACATGTCCCATTTAGTAAAATCAATTAGCCTTTTGTCCTGACAGTATTTTTAACCCTTCAATGCAGCTGTCATCTTTTAACAGAATAAACTTATTTTATAACAAGCTATTTCCTGTCATCACTCGCTGCTTTTCTCAACCACACTGCAACTGTCACAGCACAGCTGTCAGTTAGAGAGATGCTGACCTGCACCAAGTCATATATATAGCACATGTACTGTCTGCAACAAACTGACTAAAATCCAGTCATCTGCTAACAAATTGGTTTTAGTCACATAAAAGAGCTATAGATTTACCATGATTTACCATTCCTTTTTTAAATGATGTACATAGCCAAACTTGCTGCTGCTCACTTATTGGTTAAATGTTCTAAATGTAACTTTCAGAAAACCATTGTTAATGGTGACATCAAGTTGCCATGGACTGCAGTCAGCGTCCTCTTGCTCGCGCTTGCTCTCCGTACTGAGTCTAGAATATTATATATATTCGATATTATATAATTCAGAAAGGCGAACTTAAAAACAGGGGTTTGTATCTATAACTGTAGTACTGTAAACTTGTGCATTTATGTTTATATCTGACCGTAGTCTTGTAAACTGTAAAATCTGCAAGCTTGCATATACATACTTACATACTCGAGTACACCTTTGAGCCAGATTTTAGCCAGATAAAACCACATTATCACAATGTTTTTCACAAGATTTGCGGTAATGTTAGCTTTGACTTTGGACTTTTGGTGCACTGTGACTCTGTGTTGTAGTGGGTGCGAGTCGTTTTTAGACATTAAATTCAACCAGCAGCCCTACATAGAAATGCATATTTATTGGTCCACAACCCATTCACTCATTGGTAATAAAATGTGATTTATACATAAAAATAATATGTAAATTGCTTCAGAATCTTACATAAGGAACCTTAACATAGTTCAACTAAACAAGAAATAACTTGCGTCACATTTATTATGTTCAGTCTAGAACCTTCTTACCTTGTTGGTACCATGTTGCTGTAATTTACTGTAAATTGTAAAAAAAGATCTGCAAATAGTGGTCCTAAATGATATAGGAAGGACAAAACTAACTAAACATAGTTGCTCAAGAGATGTGAAAGTGTGAAAGACCAGAAAGTGGATCTGCATTATACGCTCAGCAAGTCTTTATATAAGTCTCTAAATTGTGACAACAGCGTTTGCAATGTAAGTACGTGCTGACAAATGAATAAAACATAGCTAAAGAAGAACAATACTTACAATAAAGAGACATTAAACCTAGTAATTGCTGGTAAATAGTGCTCTTTCAAACACATGGCTTTTGAGAAATGTCATACAATCACTGAGCACAGGGGCATTTTTCTAAGACTAATTAGAGGCTACGAAACCAACTGTTCAGCAAAACTATTGTTCTGCATCTTCACATTTGAGATAATTAGTATGGCCATTTAAATGCATGTAAGACATCATAGGATGTGCGAATATATCTACATTTTATGATTAAGATGGCATTCAGTCAGTGAAGCTAAAACAAAGAAACAGATGCCTTAGTCTTACTCCTACTATTTGGAGTTAATATGGTTTTTAACTCTTCCAGCTGTCAACAGAAATAGTGGAAGGCTCTGCATTGTTTAGTCAACCGTGGGTATCAGCAGTGGAAAATGTGGTTTACACCTCAATTGAGCTGATTCTCAGCAAGATACATTATTTAACTGACTACCAACCGACTACTAATTGCTTTGCTTATCAATTTTCAAACTCACAATACCTTTAATTTCAAATGGAGTTCCATATCCTGCTACTCGCCATAATATATAATACAGTAATTGCCCGCTCTCCATTTGTAGATAGCAGTATTTTTGCAGCTGACAAGTCCCCAAGGGCACATAATTATTTCTCAGTTTTGTTCAGTTTCTTCATAGCACTTTATCATAGTGCAAAACACACCCACCCCCTTTGCAGAACTCTGATTAGACTCTTGCTGAGCTTGAAGCTTCTGGTCTTTTGCATATTTCTTTAAGCGTTTTGTCCGAACAGAATTGGTTCCATATCATCAGTATATTCAGCTATCTATTTTAGCTGTATTGTATAGTTACTTTGGAGAATATGTGTTAGTGATCAGCTGTCATGTGTGAACTAATTGTGCATGTAATCTTGAGTTATTACATTTGTACTATCATAAAACAACACATTGGCACATCACCCTACGTAAAGTGGATTGAATTCCTCAAAAGTAAGTGTAAGAAGATTATGTTAGTAGCAATGACTAGTGACAGTCTCAAATAGAGTTTACATTTCAGAGAGGATGTTATTCTGCACCTCCATGGACTGTTTTACTTTAAAGGAAGCGGTCCTGGTCTGTTACACGTACCATTTTATTCAATTTGAGACTTTGATGACAATGATTTCCAGAATATACAGAGCATCTGCGGTAACTTGTTAGAAGTGCATGTTTTCACCTAAGGCATTATGAGCCTTTACACGGTGCCTCTAATGCCAAATAAATGCTAGATGCTTCAAAAAGACTGTATGGAAGCCCAAAAGGGAAATCCTGGTATCAAGTTTAAGAAGTTTTGGTCTTTATCTGTAATGTTCTTTTTAACAGGTGTCTTGGTGGTGATTTGTTCCATTAAGTGGATATTGAGGCTTAAAGAGGAATAGATATAAGCTCACCGAGGCTTCAAAGCTCCAAATCAACATCTTGTTGCCTAAATGTGGATTTTTCATCACAGATACTATGCCCATGTTTTTCAATTATGTATTTTCAGCAGACTGTAGGAAATGCCTTCTAGGTTTTTCCACCTATTTCAGTCAGAGCTGTCTCTGAATCATGACACCTCCTTATCCTGCTGTCTCTACTCTTTTCTTTGTTTCTGTTCAGCAAGATTTCTGCCCAGTAGAGCACAGATTATTCCAGTAGCATGATACTCGAGCTCATCAGTTTTACAGAAGACGGTAGTACAGAGAATAGTACAAATACAGAGGTTACAATATAGTACTGTAATGGCTCAGTATTATTAGGTTTGGACCCAAAAACAAAGCTCGGAGACAAGGCAGGTAAAGTTAATTGTTCAGTTTTACTTGTGGTCATAAAAAGGCACAAACAGTCAATATTAGATAGGTAGGGGGGCAAAGTCCCATAAGCAGGAAGGGGTTCCTGCAGTCAGGAAGGCAGGCAGAGATGATGACTGGACTGCTAAGCTGAAAGCACATCAGACAATCTGTGAAGAATGAATGGGATTTGCCTGGTATACATACCGCAAGACTAATAGGGAAGTGGGAACAGGTGTGCAGGTGGTCAGGGGAGATCAGGTGATGAAAAATGGCAAGAACACAGAGAGAGGTAGAGTTAGTATATGGCGAGGGCAGAGAGCAGATATAAAATGGGGAAGTAGAATCAGGTCAATGTGAAAAGTCTGGTGTGTAACCATAACCACAAAAAATGCAATTGCATTATTCTTTCTCTCTGTTTGAACATGGATTTTGATACAAAAAACATTCTTTGGACCAAATTTTTGTTGAACCCTTGAGTAGTAGACCAATTTTACTGAAGTCATGACTATATATGATGTAACTCTTTGCTGTGTTTCTGCTTTTTTTCCCCAGACATTGCAAGAGCTGTTGCAGCACGGCCTATATCATATGCAGCGGTATTACGAATGAAACCAGACAGCTCGTCAGTGCTCAACTCGCGCAATAGACCCCGACAACACCACAGTGGTGGGCTGGTGACTCCTGACTGGCCTGCTTTCTCCAGTCACCCCCTGTCAGCCTTGAGTCTGCTCCGCTCTCAGGAGGACTACAGGAGTGAAGGTAAAACTAATGGTGCAGTCACACCTACAGTTTCTTTGCTCTTGTCTCTACCAAAATGGAAAAGTTTTGGCTTTGGTTTGTTAAAGTCCACATTCACACTTAAAAACCAACTAAGCAACTTTACACAAAAGTCAAATGACCTCACAAACAGCTCATTAATAGTACAATTTGTAAACGTGTCTTTGTGCATAGATTTCATTCGCAGCTCTAGCCAAGGATAATGAACACTTGTGTACACTCTGGCATTATTTGCCCGCTGTGGTATTCATTAGTTAAGAAAATGAGAAGAAGAAGAAGTTGAATTATCTGTTAAAACTGGTATGCCTTCAGCTTATTTTGTAAGATGTTATTGCTGGCAATCAAATGTCAGCAACTTCCTCCTGCCAAGAGAGATTTGCATTTTTGTGCCTTTTCTAGTTAACAGTGCTGGGTTGCATTCTCAGTTCTGACCATCAGCCTTGTAACAGCATTATGCAGGACTGAGACCTGAATTTTCAGGTGGTCTTAGTGTGATCAGGTAGTACCACATGAGTTCAGATTACATTGTTCTCACCCGCCAAAATGAACCAAACTAAAAGGGTGGACACCAAGTTTGAATAAACCTCTCCAAACATGATTGGTGTGAATGCACTCTGCTATCTCTGCAACAGTCTGCCATATCTGGTCACACTTTATGTGTGAAGGCTTCCTGCCTGTTTAGATTTGGTCTGAAAATGAATCTCACCTATCCATCATCACTGTGCATGGGCTGCAGTGACCGGGGTTGTGCCCTTTGTGAAATTGAAGTGGGATCATGGCAATATCCAGCTCTCTCTGTGTTCCTGTCACTATGGAAGCTATAGATATGATGTATATCTTTTGTCAAAAGGGAAGATTTAATATCCCAAACACATCATGGAAACACACTGTCATAAATCTACATGGGTCACTTCCTGACTTACAGTATGAATAATTCTAGAGGATGTAATGACACGTTGGTGCTTTAATATGTGATTAATCACATCATGCTTATTGCATTTGGAGTGCTTAATTAATGGAAATCTGAAGTAGCTGCTGAATTGGCGAAATAATAGCACGCATTAGGAGTAAGGAGCTGGTCACATTAAAATCAAGCGGAAAATATTATTTTTTGTTTTTTCTTTTTGTCTTTTTCTGTTTCTGTTTCTTTTCCTTTCTTTCTTTGTGCCGTTCTGCCTATCTTCCTGTCTTTTTTTACTCTCTGACAGCATTATCACTATGTAGCCATAAAATGACTTACATCTCTATAACCAAGGTGAGAGTAATGCCTCTCCATTGTCAGTGGTGACAAGAGCATTATACCATTGCACTGGATTGATGTTCAGTGGATGAAATGGATGCCAAAAAGTAATGCACCTTTCGTGGCTCAAAGGGGATATTGCTTTTTTGGCTCTGTGACTGACAGATGGCCATGGCACTTGAAGTTGAGTGATTTAAACAACTTCTGTGCTTGTGTATGTGTTTGTATTTTATATATATATACACACACACACACACACACACACACACACACACACACACACACACACACACACACACACACACACACACACACACACAGCCCATATGTCCTTAAAGACTGAAACCTGGCTTTTTTATCCAATTCTTTAATGTTTTGGTCACAAATAGTCTATTGTATGTGCACACACGTTTCCAGTAATTAAGCAATGATTAAGCATCTAGGTGTCCCGGAACAAGAGAAAATAATAATTTATCCACCATTTATTTACATGTCTGGACACCTCTTTATTATCATGCTGTTACCAGTAAATTACCAATGAAAATAGTGCTTCAAATGTCCATTTATTAAGTATTGTGATGTCAGTATAATCCATTGTTGGTTTCACCTGTCACCTGAAGCAGAAAGCATAGCTGTTTTGATGGCTTTCCGCAGTATATTATAGACTATTTCTTTTTTTTAGATCATGTTCAACTCTAAACCAGAACTGCAGTGCAGTCAGAAAGGACAATGGCATTCTTGTTGCTGTTTTGGCTTTGTGCTCCGTCACACTGAATTTTAAGGTTAAAGTGCCAACATTCAGCTTTAATTCAGATGAATCAGATCAGAAGGACATTGTGGGAATTGTAGCCTGTTTTATGCATCATCACCTGATTTGAGGGGACAGAAATTAATCGGAAATTTTAACATAAACTGGATGTCATCCTATTTAATGATACTGCTTCTTCATGACTTCCTGTAGTCTATGATCCATGGATATCAGCATGGTTCTTTCACTTGTTCCTCATTTAAACTGAAACTCAGTACCAGAAACCTTAGCCCCTACTATTGTTTCATTTGAAATAGAAATAATTTCATCATACATCACAGTCCACTCCACAAGCTAAACGGGGGCAGGTGGAGCATGCTAGTATTGTTGGATGTATGTAAGGATGGATAGACAAGAGAGCAGTGCAAAGAAATGTTTTAACACTAGTAAGACTGCAAACACTTTGGCTTTGCTTTATATGCACAACAAGGTTGCAACTTAATATTGATTCATTTTCCTCCACTGATTAGGGTATTATTTCAAAACCTTTTTATTTCCCTGTAGAGCAGCAAATTGCTGACAAAGGGTTGGTGAGATTATAGATACCCTGAGAAAAAAACCATGAGTCTTTTTTTGTCACCACATTATTCCTAAATAGTGAGAAGTACTCAAGACTGGTGACTTACAACGTTGTATTATTTATGCACCGGATCAGATGTAATGCCACACAAACTTAAATGCTCAATATAATGATGTCTGTTTACACAAATAGCATGAATTTTGATACACTATAAGAATTTCTGCTGCTGCATTTTGGCGTCACATGTAAACACAAGGAGCACATCGCTAGCTGTTCACTAGGTTTACATTCTGTATGAATTCATTATCTCATCGAGAAACAGTTCTTCTAAAGAACACACGATTCAGCTGTCTTTTGTAGAGTCTGATGCAATATACCTAGGAAACCCTCTACAATAAGTACATCACTTCTGTGTTAACAGAAGGCAAGATCAAAGAGTAGAGCACTCTGAAGGAACAGAAGAGAATTGCAACAGGGACTGTCAAGTGGAAAATATTACACCAACAAGCATATCGATATGAGGGTACAATTGTGCCGCGGAGACTTCAAATCTTACACAAGAAGCACTTTAAATCACAACAGGAGCAACTTAGATTTAAATCAGTGTGGCATAGATGTAGTCATTAAATAGCATTTCACAAATTTTAAATCATATAAACATTTGTAATCCAGGTTTCAATTGAACTCCATCCTGCAAAAACATGTTACTTTGAAATTAATTTCATTGTTAACATCTTGTGACTCACCTTCTGGATATGTGCCATTGGAAACGTAAATCATTTGTTGCAAGGCAAGGTAATCTCATTCCTTTAATCCTTGAAACTTTTTGTTAATCCAATTTATTTGGTTATTTAATTAGAATTGCCTTAGACTTACTCGCTTGTCTAATCTCAACTGTGGTAGTGTGGGGTTCGCAGTATTGTTGTTTTGTTGTATTATTCCCCTGTCCTAATTATATGGTACAACATCAGTCAAATATATATTTACACTTCTGACAATGATATTTTAATACATATTGATGTAACAAACTGATGTTGTCTGTGATTTATACAGATCTGTCTCCCCGTTCATCATTTTGTAAGGGGGCTCTGATTGCAAGGCACTTTCAATGGCCGTGCTTATTACCAAGCCTTAACAATGCACCTCGCCCTTCCAGGCACAAAAATGACCGCGACATAATGGCAGATTGCACAGTGTGCTTCAAACGATGCTCCAAATTTCTATACTTTTCGGATACACGACACTATGCGATGGTGTGAGCTGCCTGTAATGTGGCTATAGCATATGGTATGTAGCAGTTGTATGCCAAGATTAATGCCTATTGGTTAATTAATGTACCCAATAGAGCCTGGGGCTTAAACTCACAACAGGTGAGTAGTTAATACAACCAAGAGGGCCAAGGCTACAAACCTCATAGATTGAATAGAATAGACAATTTGGATACATTTGTGGTATTAAATTAGATTTGAAGAGCAAGAAGAAAAAAACAAAAAGCCTTTCTGTTGTGAAATAAACTCTTGTTGTCACTTAGATACAATATTTTGTATATTTTTATTATATTCATTTGTATAGTGCAATTGAATAGTACCATGTTGATGCCCAAAGATAAGAGCTGCTTACAGTAAGTATTTGTTGACCAATGTTTAATTCTGAGATAGAGCCATTTTTTGTGGATAAAATTTTGACCGTAAACTTGTTTTTATTTCTTGCAATTTTGCTTGTAGAGCTTGTTATGGAAAAACAGAGGCTTGCCACAGACTATTAGGTGGATAGTAAACAATGCTGGAGAACTGACAGAAAAGGGAAAGATTGTGTTGTTGTAACATTTCTTTCCTGACAAATAAAAAAATTGCCTATTTTCAGTAGCAGGATGGTGGAAATTATTCTGTAAAAGGTCAGAAATAGACCAGTGAGAAGAGATGATAAATAGTATGTCGGCACAAATTAACTAACAGTAAATTACTAATGTTATCCCTCATCTGACATGGGTGTATACCACTCGGTACCGTTGTTTGAACATGTGTTTTGTGTGACATTTCTAAACCTTTTTTTCCCCACCAAATAAATCATGTCCAACCAGGTTAACTGTATGATCACAAAGAATCACTTCTAATTTAAGAAGTTCTTATTTCTGCTTTAGAACTGCCACCAGGCTTAAGGAGGCTCCTCCTGTTGAACAGCCAGATCATCTATACAATATATCACAGTACATCAACTATCAAAAGAAAAGTCAGTGTGCTGCAGAATGCAAGTTATTGTTGTAGTCTATTTTGTTGTTTATAATTCCCTCACAGTATGCAGCTGTACATCCTCCTTCTCTCTTGTCTCCTATAATAGAGGTTGGTAGGAAATATACACATGCACTAAACAAACTAGGGAATAATAGAAAACGTAATTGGATGTTAAAACTGAATGGCGCTCATGTTGTGATAATTGCAATCATCCTTGTTTTTATGTCTTTTTTTCTCATAGAGAATGAAGAGTTTGGGCCTGTCTTTATCCAGGAGCCAGACGATGTTATTTTTCCTTTGGATTCTGGTGAAAAGAAAGTGGTGATGCACTGTGAAGCACGGGGGAATCCACCACCCACATACAGGTGTGACATAGATTTGTCCATCTCCTAATTGCAGTCCCACTTTCACAGCTCATTAGCTTGTCGCTCCTCACAAATGTATTAAAATCTCCTATTCTTCTTATGTTTTTCAGTTGGTACATCAACCGGACAGAAGTAAATGCAGAGTCAGATTATCGCTACAGCGTCATTGATGGAAACTTACTTATTAACAATGCAAGTGAGATCACTGACTTCGGGAAGTACCAGTGTAAAGCGGAGAACGGCTTTGGGACGGTCCTCAGTCGAGACGCTCTTTTACAGTTTGCATGTGAGTAGACTTTTTATTTATTCATTCAAAAATCTTTAAAATTCTACATACATACAATCAAATAATATATGATATACTCTATAGCTCTTGTCTTGTCTTGACTGTGTTAAAAAAAAAACATTTTATTCTGTCTTGGGTGAAGAACATGGCTCTCGCGTGAAGCAAATAATGAGCTTCAAGCTCTTTCTCTCTCTGTGTCAAAATAAACCTGTTTGGTTCCAGGGGTAAATAAACACTACACTGTCTACAGTAAGGTTTCAATGCTGAGTTTAGTTCCCACCGGCTCCATCTGATACTGTTGAGTTTCTCTGCTAACAGGGTATGTACCCTCAAATGCCATGTCTCAATGGTAAATGAGAGCAAAAAGCACATTTCTTCCCCCAGTAATCCCCTGGACTAACTCCAAAACATCACCACAGGCTAAGGCAGCATACACGGAGAGACCAGGGGCACTATGCTCAGAGGAAAATGCATTGTTGGTTTTCTCTACAGTTTCCTCGGGAGCAATGACCATAATAGCCTTATTGGCATGTCTACGGGGAGATTACCGGTCTCACTCACTGAGCTGTTGCTAGAAAGTATAGTACATGGTCCCATGTGTTGTTATGGGGACTTACAGTTGTTACAGGAATTACTCAGGAAACAAATGGCTAGATTAGCCTGAAAGTATGTAGACAGAAAAAAGGAATGGAGTTCTGTTTCCTAGAAGAACAATTTTCTTTAACAGAACTTAGTTTTTTTGTTTCTTTTATACTCTTTTTGTTTTGTTGTTTCATATATATATCAGCATGATCAAAAAAGTGAACAAAAATCAGAAGAAGACCTCTCCTAAATTAAATATAAGCCAGACAGCATTGGCAGGCAGGGATGCCCAGATGGTAAAGCACAGACATGCTTCAAAAAAAGTGCTGCTAGTTTCTAAGGGACAGAAGCTGCACCTCAACATGTACTCGCATCTGTCCTCTCAACTGTCCAGATCTTTGCCTCCCCCTCTCTTCACTTGCGTGTCAAATCAGTATGTGAAAAAAATGAGCTTGAGCCCTTTTTTTCCTGAAAGATTGAACCGAAAATGAGCAATGTAACAAGTACGCTCTCATTTATTAGGTGAAGCTTCAAGCTGAGACATTGGTAGCTATTTTTAGTTTTGCATAAATACTGTGAATTTGCTTGACACTATATTATTCATCAGACTCATACTGGCGATATGTAAGATTCAAAAGTTTGGGTTCTATGGAAACAGTGTGGTGTTTTTCACTGTAGTGTGCATTTCATTTGTTGAAATTTCTATAGAGTTTCTGTAGGTGGCTTTCACTCTCTATCTGTTAGACGAAGAAGACAGCAGTTGCTCGTTCTGTCCCACTTGAAACAAAGCCGTGATGTGTCATATAGTGCAAATGGATGCCCAGATTTGTACTGGAGCATACATATTTTACTGTGTTTAAATGATTTAAGCTCAAACATAATCACATTGGAAACTTTAACCTTCCTTTTCAACAACCGTCAGCCAACGAGACAATCCAAAGAATTTGAGTCTAGCACTTTAAGATCCGCCACCTGTAATGGCTGCACGATCCTGGCTCCAGAAATAAAAAATCTTAATGTATTGCTGTGGAAGATTAGAACCGAATAAATCTTTTCAAATTTAAATCAGTTATTTTTTATTCCATTTAGCCCTTATAGATATTTGCATCTAGTTAATTTGGCCAATTGCACATTTTCCAATGTGTGTCTTAGCCTTAATTAAAAAAAATAATTAAGTCTTAAAGCATATTAGGGATTAAGCAAAGGGTATATTTGGGGTCATGTTTGGTTGATTGGCAGGTGTGCCTGCTGAGACGATGGCCACTTCCTCGTCTCACATCAGCTTCACCCAAGCCACCTTTACACAAAATTGGATTTTCTTGTTCCAATAAGCGACAGGTCAGTCAGTATCCTGTTGTTGGAGGCGTGACGGGGCTTAATGTGGAAAGATGCAGCATAGACAAGAGTGTGCCAGGTTCTAGGTATTACATTAAAAACAGCTTATAATCGCCTACAAAATTATATCATTATTATTCAACTCTTCTTGCCAAATCACAGCAATGTCAGTGCATTGCAGCACAGTAGCAAATTCTCTGTGGCCTGGGGGTTTGAAGCCACAGCCCCAAAATATCACTCACTGAATAAAAATGTGTGGATGTCTCAGCTGTACTATTAAGTCGGGAGCAAATCCCACATTTAACCAACTGTCATTGTGTGGTGATGTCTGAAGCACCAGTCAGAAACGTCTAAGGGGAGAATTAAAGATTTTTTTGTGTAAGGGTGGCACATCATCACACTGTGTAAGAATCACTGAAAGATTTATTTGTTCTGTTTGTGAATATGTTTTAAGTAACAACAATAAAGATCATCCACATTAAGCTAGCTGCCTTATTGGGGTTGTTTCCTAAATAAGTTTAACTGATGAGAGCTCAGTGCCTTCTGAACTTTATTAAGCTGTATTCAGAAAACCTGTCAGGACACTTCGTCCCAAAACTGAGTTTATTTTTCCTCTAGGTTCATCCAAGCATATAAAGTGACAAATTTGTGTGACCGTTGCCTCAGCTTCAGCATCAATGTGTAATAGTCTCTTTCCCAGTCTACATTTCTTTAAAATGCGACCCTTCAAAAGGCGAGCCACAGAAACAAAGAGAGGTGCCCTGCAGCACAAATTTGGATGCAGAACCTTCCCTCTCTCTTTCAGCATAACAAATGGTGGGTATTTATCACTCAGCGTGGAGCTCAACTTTTTCTTCCCTTTTCATGTTGGCAGCGCACATTTTCATGCATTGACACAGTTGTCGACTGCTTTATAGTTCAGATACACATGAGCACTTCTTTCCCACGTAAGCTGTATATTTTAAGGAAGTAATTACATGCTTTTATATGTTGGTAATACTGGAAATAGACTGGTCAACTACATTTTCTTGTGTTGTACACAATCAGAGCACATTGAGACATACATGTTGCTGCCTGCTGACCTACAGTCATCTCTGTTTTAGATAGTGAACATTATTTTCCCAATTACAAACTACCTGCTATCACTTCAAGCAGAGCATGTTAAATCCTGGAGGTATGCAACTCGGCCAATTTTCTTTATTGTGATTTGTTAAGCAGTTGCTGACTGGTTTGGTTTTATTATCCTTTTAAGAGTGTGTTTATTAGTGGGTTAGTTTTTAAGATTTTTTTTATGTATGCTGAAGATATTTTGTCTTACTAAATCTTGGTGGGCACTAATATTATCACTTTTCTTTTTTCTGCGTGCATATAAGAGAATAAAGTAAAAGTATAAGATACATTTAAAAAAAAAAAGTCAATTGTTTAGACTGGTCTGGGCTAAATTAATTTGTGTGTGGTGCGCAGTACACACTCCATAATACACTCTGGTCCTGAAGGTTGTTAAGTCAAGCTGGTGAACTGAACACAGCCCTGTTTCATGCAGGGAATCAGGGGAGAGCTAGAGTGGACCAGCCAGAGTGCATGTGGAAAGGTTCAGTCAAGGCTCTCTATATTCTACCCCACTGGTCGTGTACTCTGCTCCAAAGATGTTTCAGTAGGATGCTTTTTTCTCTCTTTGTTTTGAAATTCTGAGCTGCTGAACTCACACTTGGGCTGTTTTTCAGCCGTGACTTTGAAGGCAGCAGGCAGAAAGGAGGCCTCTGATCTTTCTCCCCAAAGAGTTCTTCTCTCTCTGCAGACGTGAGTCTGGCTGAGGCTCAGGTATCGAGCCACTCTGAGCAGTACAGTAGTAATGAAATTAACGGTACGCCTTGACTTGGGCATTGGAAGACCCACACTCACACACACACACCTTATTCTGAAATGTTCTATAAATCTGAAATGATCAGTAGTTAATGCCCATTGACTGAATTCATACTGATCTTTAAATAACTAATTTGCATTGAGCACCTGCTCCCGTGCTTGCTACAAATTTCATCACTGCATTTCTGGATTTTAAACATTTATAGGGACATATGTTGACTTGTAATTTTTGAGGATACTTTAATGACCGTGCTGTTTTTACATTATTAAAAAGGCATTAAATATTGATTAACTTACATAACTATTTTGCAAAGGGAAATGATAGGTGAGTAAGCATTTCATTTTAACTCATTTCATTTTCAATGACTAAAACACTTTAGTCTTTATTTGTTTATTCTACATATACATGCTAAGGAACCATTGAGCTTCCACATTGTACTTTTCACTTGGCAATCAAACAGTTCTGTAGGTTAAGTTGGCTCTTCGATTTTTTTTTTCTGACTCCCTTATGTTGGCTATTACTGCTAACCATGACTTATTTATTCCAAACAACCAGTGTTGCTGCAGCCGGAAATGTAAAATGTATAATTTCTTGTGTGCCTGGAGATGTTTACCAGGAAAGAGCTCCCCATTACTACGTGTTTTTGTGTTTTCAACAACAAGTGTGATGGGTCTCTTAAAGTGGAAATAGTGTACTATAGGTTGAATTGTTATCATAGGGGTTTATAGCATAGCAAAATGGAAATATATAAACATAAAAATTACAGTAGGAAGACTTGTGTTTCCACAAAATGTAGCCTGGCTGAATAATTGAAGGTGAAGGAATACCCACTCACATCTGGTTGCTGCCAAGTACAACAGTCACATTGTAGGTTAGTGATTACTTTCGTTCTACTTTAGTAGCTGTTTTTGTCCTTCTGTTATTTATTCACTTATTTACTCACTCATGCATTCCAGTCCAGTCCCAGTCTTTATCAATAGATGAAAAATCTATTTAGCCTACATATTGTCTATTTGCTCATTAAAGCTGCAGTAGAGAACATTGATCCATGATAACTCATGATTTATGTTTGAATTCAAAAGGAAACAGAGGTATAAGGCAGCTTAATTGACAAAAAAGGCAGGTTTGTGACAGCTGCTGGTAAATCAATAGTGAACATGGTGACAATCAGTGGTCCTCCATCCTCACGCTGGTGGCAGCTTGTTAGCACACATGAATCACACATAACAAATGAGCAAGAGGTGGGATCGAGTTTTACTAGGTTAGCAGTGTAAAAGATTACAAGTCAGGGTTCAGTATAAAAGCACTCTGCAATATGAACTAGCCAGCAGCCCCTAGTTTGAACAGAGGAACCTAACATTGAATTGATAGTCCAATCAGTGGGAAACAAATTAAAGGTAAAAGCTTCAGTCAATCAGAGTTCATTTTAAACAACACTGGGAGCCAAGGTATCTACAGTCATTTGCATTTCAGACATTTTAGCTTTGTGTATTGTTCTTCCAGTGTTGCACACTGTGTAGAGCTGACTGTCTATTCATTGTTCGATCTGCCTTGTTTTAAGCACAGGAAGTGGTCGGTATGGCAGATGCCACTTGTGGTGTGGATTGAATGCTCGCAAATACAGGTTGTATGACAGGCTACTCTCCTGCTTGATTCTATTGAAAGAGTATAGCATACCACATATAATATTTACTCTTTCTTCTTTTTTTATGTAGTTATGGTATTTCTGCTCACCAAACTCTTGCCATTTTTTAATAAAGGGTCCAGGTTAACCTGTTGTTATGTACTTTTGTTCTGATCTGTTATGTTTTCTCTTCTTTTGAACTAAAATGTTTAAAAAGTATCGTGACAACCTGTACATAAAATGAAATGCAACTCGGTGCTTTAATGAGGAGAAAAAGGAGACCACACTGATGTTTTGAAAAATAGGGAAATATACTTTGACAAGAAATTGACTTTGTGCTACATTTGAAGATGAAGGCCATGAACTATGATTATTATTAAATGTGTCAGAAATTTAGACGAAACGCAGGTTTCACAAGTCACTCGGAGGCATAATTATCCAACAGTTCTGGAGTAATAGTCAACACTGTACCTCAAAGTGATGAAATGAAAGTGTTGGAGACACAGAGACCCGCCCTGGGTCAGCAGTCGCCTCATTTCCACACTTTGGCATTGCTTCAACTAGAAATTAAGGAGGCAGTTTTGGGTCCTTGAAGGCTACGGTTCTGGGATTTGTTTTGTTTTGAAAAATAACTAGGTGAAAACAAACACACTGCCACATTAGTAAATTTAAAATGTCAGTAAAGGAGTTTAGTTAAAAAAAAGTAACATCATATTAGAGATGATTTAATCTAACAGTTAATGTCTTCTTGTTCTTGTTAACCATTTAATGCCACAGATCCACAATAAATGTTGGCTATGACTAACTATGATGACTTCCCCAAACCTTTACCAAGTGCCTTTAATTGCTAAACGTCTGTAGATTAGAAAAGATCATTCTAAGGTTAATAAACAAAAACAATTCTTATTTTCAGGTGATGATTGAACCTCAGCCATTGTTTAACTTTAATCACCATGCAGGAAACCAGTAGGAGTTGCTAGTGCAGCAACAAGGGTGAGAATCCACATCACAACAAATTGTGTGTGAACACAAACCAGCATTGGAAATCAAATGATGGATGAAAGCCTTATCCTTGTGCCACCACTTCAAAAGTCTGTTGATGCATTGCTGTGTTTTTTTTACATTCCTAAATCATATAAAGACATTGAAGGCAGCAGGGATATTGCCACTTCATAATGATTCAACATGTTATATTTTACTGTTGCTGAAAATGGTTGTCTTTGCGTGCTGTTCCAGATCTCGGTGCATTTAGTGTGAAGACCAGAGGTGGGGTGTCTGTGCGGGAAGGCCAAGGTGTGGTACTCATGTGTACCCCTCCTCCTCATTCACCAGGTAAGAGTTAAGACCTTCAATCACAGCCGGAAGAAAAAATATTTTTCTCTCTTCACTGCCTTTGGGATTGTCAATAAACTCATCACTATTCATCACGATTCCTATGACAACAAGTAGTGTTGTTATTACTCTGCCAAGGTGAATGATTGTTCTCATTATTTATTTATTTATTTATTTATCTGTTGCATTGTATTTCGATGGTTAGTTTTTGTGCCCGTCCGTTCTCCTGTCCATCCATCCATGCTGTTCAAATGACGTGGTAAGTTATGGCCACAACAGAACCGGAGCACAGATTCTCAGAGATCAAATTTGCTGGATCATTAGAAATGAAAAGAAATGTTACACAGCCAATTATTTCACATAGGCAGCGCATAGACACCTCTCTTTAATGGCATATCTTGAATATCCCTCTCTGCAGTTGTCCTCTAATGTAGGCTCTTATGTGAGCCATGAATCACCCAGGCTTTCTGTTTGCATCAGCTCTGTCGTACCGCTGCACTGCACCCGTGGGAATGTGTGCCAAGCGCTCCTCAGCACCCGCTTCCATTTCTGGATGCCACTTTGAATGACATGATAGTAACCAGAGAGTCAGTGGCAGAATAGTTGAGTTAAAAAAGAGACAATTAATTATTAATGATGATTAATGATTGACAGATTAAAGTGTAGCGCCGATGATTCTCATCCTCAAAGTTCTCCATCAATCACAGCACAGGTGTTGCCTTTGCTTAAAGTGTGTGTCATTTTTCACTCTACATTTACAGGTCAAACCCCCTTACATGCATGCTTCTATTTTTCATGGGTTTTCTCTTGAATGGTTGGAAGTGTAATTTACATAAAATTCAAATTGAAATTCAGAAACACTGTAGATGATTCTGTGAAGTGAGCTCGGTATAATGGAACTAGTGATTTTCTGTCATTTAAGGTTTGTTACAGTCTTGATGCTATAAGCTGTAAAATTGACCCAGGTTTCAGTCATGATGACAGATTGTAAGACCCTCGTGTTACATTGCTTTTATCGGATTGACCAAGTGGGTCAATACAGAATACATTTTATAACTCTACCTTTAAAATAACTCAACCACTAAAATTGCAAATTTGCAATTGATATTTTACATCAGCATCACATGTATCAAAGTCTGTTGTGGGGAAACACTGCAGTAAGTCCTTTTATTACTTGAATATTTGCTTTCTTGTTTTTAATGTCTAAATTAAGTCACCAAATGAATTGTGACTGAGGGTGCCAAATCACGATTTATGAACCAAGGACAGTAAACAAATAAGAAAAGATATAAAAGATCAGATATACAAAGTGACACTTATGCCACTTAAAACAAAATTGCTATCAAAGGTTTTGGAAGGTTTCCTATTCCCTTTCACTGTATTTTGGCAGTAAAATAATGTAACCAGAGTGATATCTTAAGTACTTGATCGGGCAACCTTGGTTAATACTGTTTCAGGAAAAATCTTATTTATATTTAAACAGCTTAAACGTTCCCTTGAATAAAACCAAAAAAATGTGCTCTTAGCTTTGAAGGATTTAATCTTTTATGTACAACCTTTAACAGCTTTAATGTTACATATATATACAAACAGTGGTTTTATGATAATCATAGTACACACAAGTTAATGTTGCTTTAGCCAGTCACACATTAAATACTGGTAACCAGAAGGCCAGCCTCAGCGGGCTGTTGAACCTTTATTTTGATGCTTATTTCTCATGTTTACAGATTATGCTCAAATACACACTGCAGGTAAGATTATAATTTATTTCTTCAACATTGCTGACATAAAATGAAAAATGATCCACAACAGCTAAAATAATTTTTAAAAATGCCACAGCCATAAAATGTGCGGCTGTGATGAATGCCTGGGTGAGTCAGAGCGTGTCACAATTGAAATTCATGTTGTATAGGGAGTGTTAAACAATGTTTAAGTTAAATTGGTTGTGGTAGGATTCAAAGACATTAAAATGCCACTTAAATTAGATAGGTCTCATGAGTGAAAACAATTTGGAATCGGTGAGATGTGAAAAGTTTATTATTTTCCATTTCATGGCTTTGAGCTCTTGTGATCAGTTTGTATGTGTCTTTGGTAAACAGTCTTTTACTTTTATGAAGCTAAAGTATGGTGACCTTTGAATAAAACCTTTTGGAACTCAGGTGTCTTTGATCAGGCTAATTCTTCATAGCAAAGAACATTGTAATTTATGTTGTTTTACATTTTAAATCAGCAATATATGCTGGGTATAAAGTTATCATTCTTTATTTATTAGAGTACAGTTGGTTGTGTTGTAGCTCACAATCTGCATTACTGCCATGTGCCCTGTCCCTGCTTCCCTCTCGCTTTCAAGTAGTCCTCTCAGTAGATTAAGCAAATGATGCTGACTTTGCAAATTAATCTGTTGACATATAATATGTGTAAAGTATCCTGAATTTGATTCAGTTTTCTGTCTTATTACAGCTACTAACTTTGAGCTTACATCTAGTGTCAAACTGAGTTTAAATCTTTCAGATCTGAGCATCTTTGAAACAGCAGTTATTCATTATTTACCAATATGACATTGATGGTCTAAAGGAAATATAGTCGTCCTTTTTTTCTCCAGAATAGACAGATTATGGATGCAGAATCAAAGAGTTGTGAAATATTGTTAGGCAACACTGAATAGATTAATTTCTCCCTGAGTTTGACAGTCATATTTTTTTAACATAATGATGGATGGTGTGTGTAGAACTATGAACAATAGACATAAAGCAGCAGCGTGCTGTCAAAGTCTGTTCTATGTTCATCATAGTCATATTGTATCCATCCATCCATTTTATTACCCACTCATTCTTATTCAGGGTCACTTTGCAGACTGTTTGTGGCTGTTTTTTTCTTTTTGGGCTTTTTTTTTTTCAAACCCACATATTTTGTTCCAAGCAATTGTGTAATCTTTCTTTTTGAACAATTTAATTTGTATATCAGCATGCACTGTAAAGAATACTAAACACAAAAGCACATCTGTGCTGCCAAGTCTTCAAGGGATCAGGAGTTTATATCCCACCCTATCCCACACTGTTATTCATGAATAAAATATAAAAGATTCAACCTAGATGCAAATAGCTTCATAATCCTTCAAAGATTATTACCTAAACAATCAGAAAAATCCTTTTCTGTGCGCACACATGCACACCCACAACCATGCTCACGGCCCTGGAATCTCAGTTTTCATATGCCAGTTTCACCTTCCTGATGGTATCAGCAATTAATTAAAATGACATCACTGCAAATAACATGCTCATTAAGGCGCTGTTTAATTGTTTTTTTTTTTTTCATCTTTAGGGGCCTCAGTCAATTTTTCTAGACTTTTTATAGCAGTCATTTTATGCTGATGAGCAAGCCTTTGTTGTTGTACAAAACTCACACTCATTACTTCTTTAAATTATTCTTGTTTCTTAGATATTGAGCAGTGATTAACATTGGTTATTAATGGTTGATAATGTTTACAGTGTTTGTTGTTTAACAGGGGTTGGAACAGTAGATACACTATTCTAGTGGTAGCATGTGACTAATCCTAACTATATTTTAGAGCATACTATATGTAAGACAAGATCAGACACACTTTTTTTTCATGGAGTAACACCCGAGGAACCTTCAGTAATTATTTGCCACAAACTCAAAGGGTGTATAGAAGACTATTACAAACAAAGTCAAAACAGACACAAAGATAGGCGCTATACTATACTTTTTTCTAATCTGTATGTTCTCCTCTTGCTTTCATAGAGATCATCTACAGCTGGGTGTTTAATGAGTTCCCCTCATTTGTTGCCGAGGACAGTCGGCGCTTCATTTCCCAGGACACAGGAAACCTCTACATCTCGAAGGTGCAACCCTCTGACGTAGGAAGTTACATCTGTCTTGTGAAGAACACAGTGACGAATGCACGGGTTCTGAGCCCTCCAACACCTCTAACACTGAAAACCGACGGTGAGGCTCTCAGATTTATAGCACCTCTCATACGTGATAGGCCCGGGTTTGTATGGATGCCCTAGAAAGACAAATCTAATGGATTTTATTGGATAAACCAGACAGAAAGTATCGCAGAGTCCTCTCACTGATCATTTGAAAGTGTGAAATTGTTTTTATTTTTTATTTTATTTTTTTTAGATCTATTACAGTGCTCCCTCCGTCTGAACTTGTTTAGCACAGATGAAAATCTAAAAGCATATTTTATATTCTGCTGGTGCATTTTATTATATAACAATGCATTTGGAGAAACATTTTCAGATCAGATAGGTTAATAAAAGTTGGGCAGTCTTCTGCTTTCCACTGAGCCTCATGTTAGTGGAGGGCGTTATGAATTCCATACACACTGTAAATAGATAGTGAGCAATCCTTTAACATTAGTGTGGGGAGTCTTCTTCACTCACAATGTGCTTTGGTGAAACTGGCCATCAGGGAAATCATTTTCTAGCATAAAATTAACTGAATCAATGGCCCTTGCTGTGGATGGGATTTTGCTCTTTTATACTAGCCTCTCAGGAGCCATGCCGGGGAGCTGTTTGTTGGATTCAGGTGTGGATTTCACCTACAGGCTTTTTACATCTGACTACACAGAGAAACGTCCATCACTTCACACAGGTGCCTGTCATTGTCAAGGTTTTAAAGAGCCACTGAGATTACATCCCCAGTGAAGCTGTGAAAGGGCCTCTGTGCCTCGGAACCAGGTTTGTTCCAAATGTTGCAACACGAATTTACCTCTTAAGGATTACCTTCCAGCAAGAATCCTGCTCTGCTATTTGCATAACCTTGTATGAAATGGCCCTCAGAGACATGCATAATACCTAGCACATAACCATGCTAAATTGGTTTGTGTCTCTCATTAACCAAGATGCAAAATACATTCAGAAGGGCATGTGGTCAGTCTGCTGTGTTTAAATATGGCTGATTGTCAGATAAAGAAACAAGACATTTTTTTTGTTGTTCATCTTTCAATGATGAGCTTATGATGAGCAGCATTCATATTGTGATATGTGGCTATGACATGTGGGCTGAAGGACAGCACTCTCACCTGCAACACAACATGGCCAAATAAAATCTCTACAGCTGTAGGTCCGTTATGCCAAAGAATGTCTTGGCATCTCTTGCTCGGCAAATCTCATGATGTTCACCAGCCTTTTTATATTGTGAATGTGTGTCTAAAATGCCGAAAATTACATTGGCACACCTCACAGCAGTCACCCAAATGTCCCCACGGCGTGGGCACCCCTCAATCATTGGAATCTGACCAATCAGATACCGCAATCTGTGCTTCAGTAAACGTGAGTGATTATTACACAGTGAACAGTTCAAGCTGGATCTGTGTGCGGCTCACCACTGTCAGCTCCAACCATGACTCTCTTAATCAAAACAAGCATCTGGGCTCCATTATACTCTGCTGGAAGCCATTGATCGTCAATTCGCAATCCACCTTGAGCAGAGCAGGGCTAAGCACTGAACTCTGCACTAATGCACTGTTTTTAAACAGACATACAGTTCATCTCAGAAAGACACCGCCTTTGATTTATCTGTTTGATTTAACTAGAAGCAAGTGCATAATAATGCTATGGATAGCAGTACCTTTGAAATGGCTCTGTATCAGACCACATGGAGTGTTTGGTAATGAAAAGAAATACTACAGCAAAATTAAATTGCTGTAAATAAAAAAAAATCCATTATGTCTATTTTTTTTTGTTTTTGCAATCATCTTTCATCCATCTTTTGCCATTGTTTGTCAGTTCTAATGGTCTTCTTTTGATTAAAGGAACAAAATCTTCAGAGAGGTTTTACATCCTGGTTTACCTCGCAGGAGTGACCAGGTTCACTTTATGTGTGCACACAGTTTTATTTATAGTGATATGTTTCTCTTTTTTTTACATAGGCTATGATGTACATAAAATTGCAACTATTTCTGAGGTACATTTTTATTATAAATATAATAAAGTAAAATAACAAACCTATCATTCTCACACTGATTGACAGGTGACAAGTTCAAACAACCAGTTTTACCAAAGTGCTGTACAAATTTAAGTAGACAGCAAAATTATATCAAATTAGTAGTAAAAAAGGCACATTGGATGCCAACGAAAGAAAATCTATATACACATACATGCACACATAAAACTATTCAATTACTGTCTGTATGTCAGTGTATTTCAAATGAATGTTTGTGTCAAACAGATCAGGATTTTAACCATTGCTTTTACTTACAGATAAGTGGCAGTGCAGTACTGGTGCAGTACTGGTGGGGTTATTATAGTCATAAGACATTTTCTCTCTCCACACTGACAGTAATATCAGTGAAACGTGATGTTTGCAGGCATGTCGTCTCCATATGGCATGTTTTCTGCCCTACTTTGTAAATCGTTATTGAAGACCTTAGGCCCATAGCCATATTGGATGTCAGCATGATGTTTTACTAACCAACATATTTTTAGTGGTGTAGTCAAAATAGCTCATTGTCTTTTACCCTGAATGTACATATTCTGCTGTCAAGAAAGCTCCAACTTTCAGTCCACTGATACATCACTGTTATGGTATAGAATGGCATCTCTGTCTGAATCATAGGAATGTTTCTTTCAAATTGAAATCTTTAATGTTTTAGGTTTATCGAGCACACGCAACAACTGTAAAGGTGTCATTGTCAGTGCCAGCATGTTAAATTATCGCCTTTGCCCCAAGAAGAAATGTTTTTAAAAACTCTAATCATCAAAAATTACATTTTACAACATTTCATGCAATGTTAATCATGTTCCTTGTATTAAACATGGCTGCACTGCTAATGCAGTATGGATGAAGGATCAGTGCCTTTAGGGCACCCTCCTCAATGAGTGCTACATATGATTGTACAATTAGGTAGAGCAGTCCAGCTGTCCAGGAGCTGGCTCAAGTGTATGGAAATGAAGAAAATAAGAGGAAAATTATTAAACCATTACAATTTTACTGTTGTATGGGGAAGTCAAAATGTCAAATTTGGATTTAAATGTTTATATTCATGAATCTTAAAACGTTTCTATACAAAGGAGCTCTAATTCATTTGTAAAAACATTGTGTATTGTTTCTCAATGTACAATTTTTTTATCAAAGTTTCAAACATTCTCATGTTTTAGTGCTTCTGAGAGGCACCTTATGATCCATATCTATTACTGGATCAGAGAGCTAATAAAACACATCATTTTCCAAAGCTATAAGCTCTGACCCAGTAAATTTTAGAACATGTATCATACTTTGAAATTGAAATTGGAATTGGTTTGCAGAAGAACCAAACACAACAGAAAATTTTAATTTTCATAAATGAAACTGGAACATGAAATATAAACCAACGCCACAAATGAGGGTTGTAATGTTTCAGCACACCAAGCCAAGACATTATTTCTTTCAGTTCTATCAAGTCTAGCCACTGAGACTGAATATCATATTGAATATACTATGGCATGAGCCTATGAAATATTGCAAATTCATTACATGTGAAGGGCTGCTTTGGAGCCATAAATGTTGAGAATGAGATTGAAATTGAAAAGTTCTTTGGAACAAATATCATAAAACTCCTTTTCCATTCATAGTGGGCCACAATTCAATAACCTCACTCCTTCTTTGCAGCATTCATTTTATCACATAAAAAGTGTCAGGTACACGTAGGAGGTGTAATTATGGTTTCTCAAATGTCATGCCGGTCATTTGTCTTACTGATCATATACATTACAAGTGGAGCAGCGCTGCATATGGTCTTATATGTTTTGTTTTGAATTCAGGTAGCTGGGCTTAGCTGTGTGTCCATCAGTGGTGCTCACATGCAATGATTGTGTGTGCATTTAACATTCGTCTAAAGGGTAAAATGCTCATGTAATATTCATATCACAAACTCCCATTTAATAAGACAGATAATAGTAATTAGATCCCATATGAAGGTGTTTTCCTTTGTTTCTCCAAATTTGCTCAATGCCATCTGACATATTGTTCTGGCAAATGGATATAAATGGCCGCCTTAACATACAGATGAATAAACAAAGAAAAGGTGTCCTCTGGCTATGACTTAGATTGGAGGTGTTAGTCATAGTGGCACTTAGCAAGACTGATAACACGTTATCACTTGTGTCCTTTCGCAATGTGTTTGTAGAATTGTAGAGCGGATTACTAATTCTTGAGGACAATGCAATACTATTCCCTGTTGTCATTGTCATTGTGATACCATGGCTTTTGAGCTTTTCTACCATATCTTACAAAGTAGCCTTTGTGGTCGTGCATAGAAGGCAATATGCTACCTAAGACTTTGGCTCACATGACTGCATTTTCCAACTAACTCTGACTCCATATAATACGTGGAAGTATACTAGAATAAAATATACCGTGTGTTAAACTTGGCTTATCCTGTATTCTAATATGCTACTCTGTTTTTTAGAATTAGATCAAATATAAGTATTCAGTTACCCTGTGTTTGATTTAAAGCAGTAACCTATTAATAGGCAGGGTATAAAGTAAAGGTGGGTGGTTGAAAGATCTGCCAGATGGTGTGCATAATGTGCAGTCCCATACCTGTACACTGCATGATTCAATGTGCCATGTGTATTTTGAGAGGCCTATACATCAGGAATTCTCTGGAAATTTAAATTGGTTGCTTCATTTTTTATTTTTTGTTCAGTTGTTACTTACATACTCATAAAAAAAAAAAAGTACCGGGGCAATAGGAAGTGAGAATCCCTATTATCTTTAAATCCCTATGCCCAGTCTCTGTGTAACACACTGCAAGAAAAGATGAGGATGATGGGAAATGGGGGGTAAGTAGCTGTTTCAATCTGCTTGGTTCTAATGTCTGCAATTCCTCTTTCTTAACCTTTTCCAGGTATCATGGGTGAATATGAGCCCAAAATTGAAGTGCATTTTCCTACATCTGTGCTGGCTGCCAGAGGAGTCACTGTCAGGCTGGAGTGCTTTGCTCTGGGGAAGTAAGTAAACAAGGACATATTGAACAAATATAGGTTGTTGTTTATTACAGCAGTATCATATTAATCACTGGGAAGAGTAAACTACAGCCTATCACTGCTCTGCTCCTGAGAGATCCTTTAGATAATACTCCTTTTGTTTTTCTCTCTTCTTTAAATTGCATTATTCCATTACCTGAATGGGGAACCAGGCATATCTTGTCTTCAGGCAGGATGTTAAGTGAGTGTAGAGAAGTGCAGCATCGTAGCTCGGTTGTTAGATGGCATGTTAGTGCATGTGGGGGGGGGGGAGACTGAATAGGGAATTCAGCCCTAGGGACCCATGTGTTCTCATAATTGAGAGCCCTAATGTATCTGTGTTTCCTGGGTGCTTTCAGGGTCGGTTATGAATGTAGAAAGCCAAGGTTATGTCTATGAAAAATGAAATTGGTAATAGTTGTCTGCCAGAAGGGAAAACACACTTTTGTCCACTGAGACTAAAATCCACACCACTTACCGCTGTTACTAAAGTTAGCTTCATGGTTTACAAAAAAGGCCTTTTTAGATCCAAGTATTTTTTTAAACTGAGAGGGTTTTTTTTTAAATCAAAATAATTGTGGTGGCTAAATTGTGAGCAGACTAGACCCAAATAAGTCACCATTATTGGTCAAATTTGATCATTACAAAACATCAATCTGTCTACGAAGCAAGATAAAGTGGTGTTTGAAATTACAAGAAATAACTTTCGTTGTACAACATAGTCCTTTATCATTCCTGCTCCATTCTGTTTATAATTATTCTGCTTGAATTATTCATTGCTGACTCCTATCTTAAGAGCAAACACTCTCTAATCTACAGATGACTAAGGACCTCATAATTGTTTACCTTGATTTCAATTAATTATCCACATTATGGCAAGTCATTTCCTAAATATATAGACACTGCATTATAATCTCACACCCCTTAGTTTTTCCTATCAAGCTAAGCAGCAGTTTTTGGAGGCTTGTACGTAGAACAGCAAAACAGCTTGAGTCGCTTCTCTCAATGAAGTAATTTGTGCTTGATGGCTTTCAGTCAGACAGTGATCCCAGTGACTTACCCTTTTGCTTAGAGATGAATGATTTATCAATGCACCCCATTAAGAAATGCCAGTCTTTATATAGTGCTGAAAATGAAGTTAAAATAGGTTTTGTTCTCCTGTTGATCCATATTTATGATGGCATCACTAGCTAAGACGGGACAGGAAAGCTCTTTGTGTGTGAATGCCAAAGCTCCTTGATGTGATTGTCTGTTGTGATATTTACCAGTGACAGTACTTAGTAGGCCATAGTCAAGGTCAAAGAGAACAATGGCACAATGAAAATGAGAAATAAAACAATAAAAATAGTCTTCTTAACTTTTAAGAGTTTTGCACGCTAGTCAGCTTATACTGTTATTTTTGTCTGCAAAACTTTTTTAATTAGAGATGATAATGATTTTAGAACTTATGTTTGTTAAAGTGGATTCTCTGTAGAATGATTGCTATTGTGGAGCACTGTTGTTTCAAGGTACTTCATATACATAAAAAGATGAATAAGACAAAGTACAACATTGGCAGGAATCATTATCATCATTATTCATAAATTAGCGTTTTTCTATTAGCCCTAATTGGCTTATCACACATTTTATGTGAACAGGACTTGTATTCAAACTATTTATTTGTGGCCTGACAACATTCATCCATTTTCCTGGATTACATGAGAACTGTCAAACGATATAGACCAGTTACTATATAAAAATATTTGCTCATTCTTAAATCATATAATATAATATATATATATATATAATAAAAATGTTTATTGTCATTATATGAACCAGTAGTTTGCTGGTTTGTCTGGCTTCCAGCTCGACTGCCAATATTTTCTAGATGGAAATCTGTAGCAAACAAAAGCATGTTTGCTTCTGTTCCACTAACAGTTGACAGCCTGTTTAACAGTGTACAATATACTGAAAATATAAAGAACATTTGTTCATTTAAAGAACATGTGATGTTCTTATATATATTGATGCAAATGTTTTAAGGATAGTTACCATGAATAGCTATCTATAGATGATGATATACTGTACTAACTATAGATTTTCAAACAACCCAATTCAATTTAAAACCCTGTCTTCGCAGTCTGATTTACAATAATCTCTGGAAAGTGCATTGCTGTTAGCTGCATTCATTTCAAGGGACACTGGAGTATGAAGTTCATTGTAGTTCAAAAAGCCTTGTACAGTTGATGGGTTACACATTCTCCCACTCATTTCCACTTAAAATATATGTGGCATGTGGTGGATGCTTTCATCCAAATTGCCTTAGAGTAGAGATATACTTTTAGTTTTAGTGACCCCAGAGGGAATCAAACTCTTGAAACCCTTGTAGTTACTTTCCTCATTGAGCTGTACAAGGACCACATTGTCAGCAGCATCAGAAAGTGCCTCTTAATGACAACATGTTTTATACTCTTGATGCTATTGTTAATGTTTTTGAAAGGCAGTTGTTTTTTGCTCAGATCATGCAGGTAAAATGTGTCTTTGTGTTTCAAATTGATTCTGTCTAAAAATATTGTAGAATTTCCTAGAGGGACCATGGAATTGAGGGCTTAGCAAATGAGCTAAATGGTGGCATAATATCTAGATCTTAATGATCTGAAGCAAACCAATTTTCCTCTATACAGTATTTTGGTATTAGATTTAATTTTCAACCTTTATTATAGAGACAGTCCAGATGAGAGCACAGCAATTGTGTGTTATGCTAATTAAGATGTCATCTTCAGAGCTTGCCTATGGGCAGATTCTTAAATTGAAATCTGTAACACCTTACACAAACTCCAGTGTGTAATGCATTCATAGTGTTAGGGTATGAAATACTCAGTTTGTACACTTTGACAAAATGGACATGACCAGAGCTTCACAGTTCAAGAGTAAATGCCAACAGTCTCATACAGAAGACACTAACAGGCAGAGCTTCTCGTTTCTAAACTGACTATTCCCTCCTGCCCACCCTCAGTCCTGTGAACACGTACAGGCCTGGTGCTCATTATTCAGCCTCCAAAGAGAAATCGTGCCACAAACTAAGGAAAATTCACCCTCATGCTACAGCCCCTCAAGGTCTCTATAGATTTGCTCTGTTCTCTGGCGAGTTGAGAATTTTGCTGGAGCAAAGGTCTCCAAAATTCTCTATCAATAACATATAAGGAAGGGCTTCATAACAACTGCATGCCATATTCATGAGTACTGATTCAATATCTGTTTCTTTTGCTAGTAGTGGTTGATGTTGTTGTTACACCCCACAGGGGCATTACAATGACAATGCCAAGTACTAACAAATGGACGCACAGTACCCCACAGATATTTGATTTTACCGCAGGCCACAGATTTTGCCCCCAGCATACTGTATGGGAAAGCAGCAAATATGCACTATTAAAATGTATGGCTGTCTGCACTGCAGATCGGGAGATACTATACTAATGATGACTTATGAAACTCTATGAGTGTGTCATCATATTAAGGTACTAATATGCTTTTCCACTTTTTTACAAAGATACTCCAGATCAATATTTGTCAAACTTTCAAGACATTTATTTGACAGAACTTCACACACTCAATGATGAGATAAAACCTACATGCATGCTGTAAGGTAATAAGTAAGCTATTAAAAAAAAAAAAGTTAAAGAAAATGTTTAAATCAATAGTTTACAAAATAAACATGACACAAAACACCTGTCCAAAATGGACAAAATGCTTTGTTTAATACAAAACATGCTCTAAATCCTAGTTTGAGTCCATTGCAGCACTTCAATGTCCTTGTGAATTTAAAACAGAAAACTCAGGGATGTAACATTTCCATCTTGGCTAAATGATTGATGGGTTCACTGGAGGTTTGTATGGTGTCACATTTCCATCTTTCAGACACCTGTCAAATCTAGTTGTCATACAAGAGCAGTACTGATACTGAGCACATAGTGAGACGTTCTCTCTCTGCATGTGCAAGTCATCTATCATAAGGATCTATAGGGCAATCCATGAATAAACAGGAATAGATGACATTGCTTGAACACTAATCATAAAAATCTCTCTGGCTGTTGTAATAGCCTGATTTGAATATTGCCCCTGTCCCTCTGAAGCCTGGGGTCTAACGTGTGGGTCGTTTGCTACCGTAAATATATCACAAGTGGTCAAAAGGTCAGTGGTTCACACATAGAGCAGAACCAACAGAAAATACCCATTATGGTGGTATGTCAGTTGCAAATGAAGGACTTCTGGGATGTGTAGGTCATTGCTGATGTTTATAGTAAAAAATAAAAAAATAAAAAAATATTTCTATAATGTGGGAAACTTGATTAATGAATAATGTGATTGACCATTAAGCATGCCAGCATAGCAGTTCACACATGCAATATAAATCTGAGAGTCAAAATTGTAAAAGGTTTAGCTGTGTTTTTAAATGTTCTTTCACAAAGGTAAACTATTGAGAATCTAGACCAAGAATCTCTCAAGGTTACTGTTTTTAAAATGTTATTAAGGTGAAGTACACAAATATATCTTTAGTCATTTTAATTATTATCAGAGGGTCATTGTCAGATGGCAAATTTATCTATGAGCATGTATAAAGTTAAATTTCCTTCCTTCCTTCCTGACCCCTGACCTACACACTGGTCCTTTAAAGAAAACAAAAAACTGGCAAGTTCTCTTTTACTCTGTACTGTTGAGTATACTGTCATCACCATTCTTCTCTTCTCACAGTCCAGTGCCAACAATCACATGGCGGAAGATAAATGGCAACATTCCCAAAAAGGCAAGACTGCGGAAGTCCCAGGCTGTGCTGGAAATTCCCAACATTCAGCTGGAGGACTCAGGAACTTATGAATGCAAAGCTGAGAATCCAAGAGGAGGAACTGCTTTCAAAGGACATCTGCAGGTCTACAGTGAGTCTGAGCATGCTCACATCCTCTGTCCATGTGTTAATCTTTTACTTTTATTCAGCCATCAAACATTCAAGTTCAATCATAGTAATCAACTATTCAGCTTCTTTAATAAGCTATTTTGGTCATTCTGAACAGTTTCCATGGATTGTAAAGACATAATCGTTGCTAGTTAAAGTGTTCTCAAATTCAAGGCTGGGGACCAGTGCTGGTCCCTGTGAATTTGCCGAGCAGTCCAAGGACTAATTATACATCCCTTGCAGATAATCCAAGAACAAGTATTCATCACCTTAAGAAAAAAAATGTTTTAACTTTGAGATGTGTTTTGTTCTAAGCGGAAAAGGTTTCTAAACTAGTTGTTTTATAGACTGCTGTGGTCATAATATGATCTGAATTGATTCTATTTATTTTTGTCATTACAAAAACAAGTTTCAGTTAACAGATGGGAATAATTTTGGTTGACCTACCAATACTGTAGTCAGTTTAGCTCTAATGCAGATATACACAATTATTTATTTGACCCAATCTATGCTTGTCACCAAAAATGTCAACTAAAAGCATTTTTTTTTTTCGTGCAGGAATTTTATATCAGTTTCAGCACAGACATTGGCTAAAGATGAGTTTTTAATTTTCTAACCAATGTGAGGTACAAGTAAGAATGTTGAATTACTACCTTTGCCCATGATCATAAACTTATCTACCCATTCCTCTCTGTCTGTGCCGTGCGCACAAGACCCAGATAATGGACTGCCTCAGCCTTGGTAGGACACATTTCCAAGGCCCTGCTCTTCTTGGCAACCTCCATTCTGTTGACATCACAAGGAGAATAGGGAGCCTAATTTGTAGCAGCTTCACGTTAAATGTAATTTACACAGGTCAGCTGGTAGTTTGAACTTTCATTGTGAGGGAGACCTTACTGACCATAATCATTCAATCAAACCACACAAAAAGGTATTCTACTAAAGGTGCCATATGCAAAGAATAGCAAAGAACGTGCTTGGAATGTTACTGTAAGAGAAGCAGCTCAGTTCCAGGTTTTCCTTCTTTCTGCACACACTGTAGAAGAAATACACCACTTGCAATGTACACCGATTGGATCTGACAAGGTGTGTCACACTAATACGAAATCATTTTTATCATTTCTGTAGTTAAGAAAGTAAAGACAAAGCAAAAAACATCAGAAATCTGTGTGGAAGCTTTGTCTGTAGGGAATTCAGGGCCAGTACTGGTTCTGAGCTCTGTGCATTTAAAGCTTTACACATCTACTGATTTGTGCTAATTGATCACATTGACCATGTGATAATATCATGTCATTATCAGTAACTTCTTAGCTTGTCCCAAGAAATGTAGTCTGCACAAATGGGTTCTTAATTGCTTGTTTCCTGTATTATTTAAATTCTTTTAAATTCTTTAATTATTTTTCAGAACTTGGCATTTATATTTACGTATGTATACATATGTATTGATGTCGCCATGTGCATTTATAAATGTCGCATTTGCATCTAAAAACATAACATTAGAGTAAAAAGTACCGATAAAGGAGATTAAAATAAAAGGGAGAAAAGACTTTGGCTAATGACTGATTAACATCCCTCCCCCTACACAAGACTGGCAGAATGATCCAGTCCCAGTAAAAGGTCCTTGTACATTTTATATTCTTGTGAATGTACGAGAAAAAAAAATGCACATCCACATACAGCCTCATTGAAGACCCAGTAGATGGAAAAAGACTACACGATGAAAATAAAAGTACCTGCAACCTATACAGTGCTCAGATCTTGAGTTGTGACAGATTCTTTTTAGCATGTGGAGTTGGACAGGGACTGTGGATGCAGCCTTGGAAACAGGGTTGCCTAGTTTGCCTATTCCATTGGCCAGCCATGCAGTGGAGGGAGAAAAGGACATTATACAAAAATAACATGAGAAAAGGATGGTAGTCCTATTTTTGACAACAATGTAGCTCTGGTCCAAAAAATCAGTAAAAAACCTCCTGCATTTTCTGTTTATATTCTAAAACTCAGAAAATTAGTAATGTAATCAAACTTACTGAATGGGTTGCTCCTGTTAATAACTCTTTGTCTTGGTGGTGCTTGTTGGTCTTGAGGTATACAGGTTTTGCTTCTGTATATACTTGATCCTAGTTCCAGAAACAAGTCCTGTATGGCTTCTTTTGTACTGTTTTAAACACTTCCCCTCCTTTCTTTGTCTGCTTGTGAGCCAGAACCTCATTAAAATAGGTGTGCATTTTCATTTTACTTCAGTTCTTCAGGGTCGAAGAGTATAACAGAGGACCAGGAAAAAAGATGTCTTATTACTGGACACATTGTGTGATTTATCTCTTTTAAGTGCAGTGCAAAAGTACAGGAACAGTGAAAGTCAAAGGAGTTCAAGTATTCAAGGAGTTTTATGTAAAGTGACAAGCATCCAGAGACTAAAAACAATATAAACAAAAGGTGCAAGATAAAAAGGCCGTACACAAAAGAGAAGGCATGAAATAAAGGTTTGTGCTAAAGTTTATTATTGAAAAAAAATAATAATTCAAATAAATAACACAAAGACAACCTTTTCTCTTCAAGTATTTCCTAAACCATAATTGTGCTTCTTTTGGGAATGTAGCATTAAGGGATTACCAAAAAGTGCTTTAGTACATTACCTCCACTTAAAATGTCTTAAATACAACCTCCAACAGGATGTGTTGATCGTGTATTTGTGCATGGCTGTTTCTACTTGTGTGTGTGTGTGTTTCAAGGATATATTACTTATTCTACTTCTTCTTTTTTTCTATCTTCAAGCCCTCCCTCAGTGGGTCAGAATGATTAATGACACTCAGATGGATAGTGGAGAGAAGCTCCAATGGGAGTGCAAGGCCACGGGGAGGCCCCGGCCCACCTATCGCTGGCTTCGTAATGGTTTGCCCTTGACATCCCAGGTACCTACCTTACTACACAGTACCATCTCCGTTTGGTGATTGTACCATGAAACATCTGAATAATTCCTGTGAAAGCATGATCATGTATTGTATATCTATATTCAGATATGATGTACCTTTGTACTTTTTTTATTTGTTACAGGGTCGAGTTGAAATAGTGAACGGAGAAGTGACCATTCACAAAGTGCAGCAGACGGACTCGGGAATGTACCAATGCGTTGCAGAAAACAAATACGGGGCCATCTACTCTAATGCTGAGCTCAAGATTTTAGGTATTGGTTCGGTTTCTAATTTAAATTAGATAAAACACGGCATTAAAAGAAAAAGTTGCTTGTGTAAATTTTATGAGGCAACTTTTCCTTTCAGCCAAGCATATTTCTTGATACTCTGCAAAGAATAAAATTGCAGACCAAGTATTGGCAACTGAATAAGGTACCAGATGATAGGTAAGGGAGATTGAAATGCAAGTAGGGAACGCTGAACTGTGAGATGTGCTGATTGCCAATCAATGGTCCCTGATTTAACCCAGGCAGTGGACGGCATGAATAAAAGAAGGACCCTTATGGTTATATTCAATGAGATGTCTGCACGCGTCAAGTTGAGGAGAGTCTGGAACAGCTCTATGTTATTCTGAGGAGAATGAAAAGCAATGACTTGTAGGTATAGATTTATACTAATGGGAGTGAACACTAGAGGAGAGACATCAATGGTTTCTTTGATGGAGTTTAATGACTCCATTAGGGTCTTATCTCCGCTCTATCGTTTGTCATCAAAGCACAGCCTACATTACGATCCCCATTACTTAGAAAAAACAAACCTTCACTTTGGGCATGACTTTCATCAGGTATTTATCAGTCAGTCTTTGCTATTATCATCTGACAATCAATTATCAATAATTGCCAACTCACATATTGGATAGCGTTTTCATTATTTTGAAATAAGTGTTTTGTACATAGAAAAACATTTGCCACGTGTATTTTGAAATGAAAGGACAGTAAAATCCAAGGAAACTGTGCTCTTCAGACTTAAGGCTTCAGGCTAAAAACATAACAGTCATACTGAATGGCTGTCCACTGTTCTGTGTTGATGCACTATTTTCTCCTTGTCATCTTCTATACTGGGACACATCTGGTGACACCCATTCCCCTTTCGTGTTTCCCCAAGGGACAGTTTGATTTACTGTCTGTGTGGCATGCCCTTTTTGAAGGGGAATCTGTGGCATTTTGAAAATCTTGCTTCAAATGGACAAAGTTTTTTTGTGGAAGATCTATCAAATGTTTATCCCGAAACCATCAGTTTAAAATCTGTGTAAAAAAAAGTATGCTTTCTCCAAGAGTTAGAAGTTCTGAAATTTAATAAGCTTTATCTGCGCTGACGAAGAGGTGCTTTTGCCTTCCTTAGAGTCACAGTCACAATGATGATATTTGGGAGCTGGTGATGAATGTTTTCATAACTATACCCCCCAGGCATCTCTTCCCAGTGACCTGTGCTCTGTGGAGATGTCCACGAGCAAACACTATCAGGACAGATTACATGGCTAATAACAGCCTGCAGATGAGCGATCACTGGAGGCTACGTGGGGGCAGTGGCTGCCCTCATGCCTGTGATCTTGTCCCAGATCCAGCTCTTCTGGGAGGGTGGCGGGTGAAGCAATAAGGGCACTGCCGCCACCAGCTGCGGGCCTGCTCTTATTTTGATTAAAACAAATACACACAGCAACTGCTCTGTTTTCTGCTGCTTTTCGTGTCTAGAGGGACCTCTGCCACTCAGGCAGCTACTCAGGCTCAAAGACACAAGTGTTACGGGGAGAGGGGTCAGCCTGTAGCTACAGATGGGATTGAATTGTCATTGCGTATAATGTCACCTATAAAACATCATTCAGGATTTGAATAATCACAGTTGACAAAGCCTTGCAGCCTGTAGATGGCCTTGATGTGTAATACAGCTGTATACCAGTGCCACATCAACTCTAAGCCTCAAGTCTAATTTAGACCATTGCTGCTTAATTCATACTCTTGAGCAAGCCATAATTGCCAGGTTAAACACGGGTTTAAAAAACATTTTCATTAAAGCAATACAAATCATCCAACCATGTCAGCATTAACATGATGACAGTTATTTAGTAGTTAGGCGGCACAATACAATGCATATTTATATATTGTAGTGGATACAGAATAAGCACATAATTAAGTATACATTAAACAGTATATAAAAGCACATTTACAACAGTGCATGTATAGAACCATGCTTTGTAATACTTCACATGGAAAATGTAGTTATTACTTTGGAACAAATTAGCATTTTCAGTCATGATGTGTCAGTCTAAACCCTCTAGCATTTTTGAAATAATTACTTCGAAATGCCACAGTTGAAGAGGTGTAACGACTGTTATGTTCATAAATCTGTTACATTTTAGCAACCACACAATGAGTAAAGTTGCATTAAGAACGTTTTTTTCACCACTAGGGGGCAGAAAGACTCCAAAACAATTCACAGAAATAAGCTAGTCAAGTTGTGTTGGCAAACAGATGTCACTGAGCAATATGAGGATGCCATCTGTGTCATTTTCCATTGAGCAGGTAGCACACAGTAAGCCTGTGGTAGGCTCTGTGCTGGAAACAGCTGCTCACGCTTTAATACAATCAGCAACATTTTAGTTTTTGGTAGTGTGACCAGACAAAGTTAATTAATTAATTAATGGGGGCTAGTCTTCACTATAAGCCCTATGACTTTATGAGGAGTCAGTTGATTCAGTGTTTGATGCAAAGATAGATCAATGATTGCACATCTCATACAAATAAAATATCTTATCAGGCTTATGGAATTAATATGTAATGTATTATATAACTTAACTGTTTCAAAACTTAATTTAACATGAATGTTTTAAGAGCCAAACTTTGGGTATAATAAATCACATACAGTATGAATATTATATGTGTTGGCCATGTTGTGACAACATTATTTTTTTTTAAATGTCTTCTACAGCGTCTGCACCTGTCTTTGTCCACAATCCCTTACGCATCATTGCCACACTTGGAAAAGATGTATTACTAGAATGCAAACCCAGAGCATCACCCAAACCAAGGATAACATGGAAGAGAGGAGACAGAAGGATACAGCCAAATAAAAGGTACTGCGACTCTTTCTTAAGCATCATGCTTCACTCTCACATAGACATTGCTTCTTACATACTGGATGTCTCATTCTGGTTGTGTCAGTTAGAATGTATTTTTATATGAAACCACAACATACACTTACAGTTCTTGATCTGTGTAAGAAAATGTATATGTAGCATGTGAAGTGTCCTTGCTGATAGGGATCCATCAAGGACACTTCAAAAGCGCAGGTGTGTGCCTATGTAAAGGCGGGCACGTGGGTCCGCACTCTAAAGTCATATAAAGCCCAACCTGCTAACCAACATGGTAATAACAACATATACTGAGTTCTACGGAAGCCCTAAAGGGCCATGCATTCATACATTTTATTTCCTCCATTTTCCCGTGATAACGAGTTAATTTTCTCGAGATCTCAAGATAACGAAACTTTGTTTTCCCGAGATAATGATATAATTAATTTGAGATCTCGAGATAATGACTGTGATATGATAACTGCGGTCAAGCCAGCCGTTACTCCGATCTCCATGGTCAAATTAAATTTACAGCCTATTCACTTCCGGTTTTCAAAATAAAGGTATTAAGAACAGTAAGCTAAAATAAAATATGTTACATTAAAGTGTTTCATGCGCCCATGATCAATAAAAAACATAGCTAATATCAAGCATTTCTACTGCACCAATGTGAAGAAATGCCAAAACAAAAGTTCCATAGTTGTATCTCCAAGTTGCATCTTTTCATATATTTGAGGTACAGTAAAAGCAGGTACAAATATGGAATTTTATTGTTGAATTTCTCCAAATTGGTGCAGTAAAAATGCTTGATGTTAAGTATACTTGTATTCTTATATGTGTAGAAGTCAAATATACCATCCATAGCCAGGAATTTTTGAGCAATATGTTTTTACTGTACCTCAAATATATGAAAAGATGCCACTTGGAGGTACAAATATGGAGCTTTTGTTTTGGCATTTCTCCACATTGGTGCAGTAAAATGCTTGATATTAAGTATGTTTTTTATTCATCATGGGCGCATGAAACACATTAATGTAACATATTTGATTTTAAATGTAGGTTTGAATTATAGCTTACGGTTCTTAATACCATTATTTTGAAAACCGGAAGTGAATACGCTGTAAAAGTGCAGCTGATTTGAGTAACGGCTGGCTTGACCGCAGTTATCATACTACAGTCATTATCATTATCATAATTATATCGTTATCTCGGGAAAACAAAGTTTCGTTATCTCGAGATCTCGAGAAAATTAACTCGTTATCACAGGAAAACGGAGGAAATAAAATGTCTGAATGCATGGCCCTTTAGGGCTTCCGTAGAGTTCAGAGCAACCTACTGCATGTTTTCAAAAAACGTATGAAACATTTCTAGATAAAATATCCAGATGAAAATGTCGGTGTCCGGCTAAAACCAGTGGCCAGTTAGCCTCTGAAGAGATGGTATAGCAAGTTTCTACTGTTTGACAAATGTTTATAATTGCACAGTATATCGTCATAACATCCAGGCCTCTGTACAGATACAATTTGTGGCATTAAAAAGTAAGAGAAATGTGTAAAACTCTGACAAAAGCATTATATGCCTTGAAATATCACTGAAGTAATGATCTGCCTTGAGCTCTTTACTGTGCATACAAAATAGCATTTGTTGGAAGGTGTGTCTCAGTGTCCGGAATGAAACCCCTAAAATATTTTAGACTTTTAGGAAGAATTCATTTTTGCATTATTGGTATAGATGGTGTACATTTTCTTTGCAGGCAGTGGTAGATTTACTGGAGCTCTGTTTTATAAGTAGCAGTTTTCTTCCTGTGCACAATTTAGGAAACAGAATATTATGAAAGAAAGTTAATTGCTCTGTAAAATATGCATGAAGTCATGAAAAGTTTGTCTCCCTCAATATCTTTATATTGTTTTTCATCATAGTTTTGTGGAATAAATGCAAGTGTTATCATTTCGGTTCAGGCTCCTTGAGGAATTGTATACATGTCTTGTTGTAACACATCACAGTTTCATTACTGTAACTGAAATTAAGTGTCACTACTAAAATAAAACACCTTAGGTACTGGCAGCGCTCTGGAGACTCATCCTCAACCCCACCTCCTTCTCAGGGATGCTGACAATTTAGACCTTACAATTGCATTTGGAATTCACACGCAGTTTGATGCATCATCTTTTATGAGAAACATCTCTCCGTTGCACCTAGAGGGGGGCTGAGCAGGGCGTGGGTCCATCAATCAAACTGAGCGACACCACTGAAATTATCAGTCACTGCTGAGCATCCCAAGTTTTGAGTGAGAGAACGGGACCTTTATTTATCAGCCAAGATTCAGCAATCTGTTCAACAGCCTCGCAGCAAGGGCAGCCAGTTGATAATCAGATCCTCAGCGTGTGCTGCTCCTTCAAACAGGCAGCGACAAATCTTCATGCATCTAACAGGTGGATGGAAACAGTATTCAGGAGTATTCAGAAATTAGTTTAACACAGTAATAGCAGAGGTTGCTGCAAATCTGCAAAATATTTCCTTTTCCATTTAAAGAGAATTGGTCCTCAGAGGTAATTTTGATGTCTATACTCTATATAAAAGAGCTGGCATCAGTAGAACTGATGGATGGGGATAAGTTAGTGAGTGTGTTGCCCTAAAATGGTGATTAATGACCCTAGCTTGTCTGGATCTGATAAAGCCTTTGAGGTATTTGTCAAACCCTTGCAAATCTATTTTTCAATGTTGTTGCCGTAGACTGCGGGGAGATTCATACCTGTTCAAACACCTTGATCTTGTTTTTATCTGACTTCAGATAAAGTCGTGTCTTTGAGAAAATTGTTCACAAAAAATATTGGCAAAGCAGTAAGTTAATCTCTCCACTCAGAATAATTTATCATTCACTATTGAGTGCCTGCATTGTATCTGTATGTGGTTCATTTTCTTCTTAATCTTGGAAGAATTTCCACAACTTTTCTCACAGATTCCTCTTAAGCTGCTAAACACTGCTATTATAAAACACACATCCAATTAGAGTTTGATGCTCTAATAGGATGTTTTTTTGTAACTTAACAGTAATATAGTGAATAAATAAACTAGATAAAAAAGTGTGTTGGGGGGAGGGTCACTGCTCAACTGGAGATCAACCTTGTAAGAGAGAGATTTGTATCTGAAACAGCCTAAATAAACAGGTTGTTTTTAGGTCTTGGTCAGGGTGACTCCTGAAAGGATTTTCTGCCTTTACCTTTAGTAAAGAGTAAAGAGTTTATAGATGGAAAGACGTTCTATTCTTGGAAGAACAGGAGAGGAATCGAAACAGCTCCACGTTTATCTAGCATTGACAGCTGTGCTGACTTAATGAAGGTTTGTAATTAACATGGATTTCCGCTAATGTTCAGGGCTTTTGTCTCGTAAATAGAAAGTATTAATCCCATTAGTTTGAAAGTACATGCAGACTCAATTGAAATCCACAGACTTTTTTGTTTAAGAGTCAGTGCATAATTTGGCAATTTTTATAAAATGTGAAATGTTTATTAATGCATTATAGGTTACTGATAGCATACGTAAATAATGAGTATTCTGTAGCCGTTTATTTGATTTCACCCCAGAAACCTTGCCTCGGATTTAAAAGATATATATTTTGAAATCCTATAAGTTTGTGATTTTCCTTTAAAGTGCCTAAGATAGAATTGATTTGCATATTCTGTATACCCAACAGCCCCTATCTTGTCCTTTCTGCCTCAGTGTCCTTGTCGGATGTGAATTTCCTCCCTAATTTGAAAAATGTCTCCTGGCTGCAGATTGCCTCAGAATTGTCTATGTGTGGCAGGATTTTGTCACGCCTTCATGGGTTTCTCTTTGCCAATTTCAATCACCTTGCCCATGATGAAAGAGCTTAGTGTTGTAAATGTAAATGCCAAACAATATGAATTAAATTAAACGATGAGAATACCTCACACCCCCACACCATTTCAATTGTTAATTTCAAATTAAATTGATTTTGTAATAAAGAATAACTTTGTAAATACTCATCCCCACCTCTGTCGGCCATGCTGAAGTCAAATGTAATATATAATATGATTAAAAAGGGGTTTTGCACTGGACACTGAGGGTAGAGCAGTGGCTCAACATAATTCAAAATATTATACTTTTACGTGATTCCTGCTCTGAAGCCATCTGCTCACACACCTGCTTCCAGTGTTGTTACATCCTATACCATCTCATGTCAAGCACTTAATTTTCAAGCTGTTATTTACAAGTCAGAGCAAAATGTTATACAATATTGCTAGTGTTCTTCAGCTGGATAAGAGGCTACTTATGAATGCAGTCATAGTGTTGTTTTTCTCTCTATTACACTTGTGTTTCCCAGGAGGACAGCTTGGTGATGTGCACATCTTGGTTTGACAGTGTTTACTTCAGATTCACTGAATGGGGCAATATTTAGAGTTTGTCAGGTGGAACTTATGATGAATGCACCGTTTATTTAGATTTATGGAAATACTGATGCAGAGGAACAAAGAATCTATTTTATTTTATGTTGTGTCATGTTCTCCATAGATTTAACTTTGAAATTTCCCTAATGAATTTTAAATTATAATGTAATTACTCCAATAGGCAGCCTATTGTGTTCTTTCAAAGGCACAAGATCAGATATAGTTCATCATTGTGCCCAAATTGAAAGTCAGAGGAATACTGTGTTTCTTTGTTCTTGACATCAATACTTTTTTTTCTTTTACTGAAAATGTGTCCCCATTACCTTAATCTGTATCTTTAATAGCATCTTTGTTTTAATCCAGTTGAAGATAGGGCTACTCAGTGGTATCTGCAAATCAGATTCATTAACACATTTAAATTGTTGATTGATCTTTACTGAATAGGGTTTATTTGCACGTTCCCTTGTTGAAGGTTACACAACAAATACAAACACTGCTCTTGACTTCACATCCCCCAGTCCTCTGAGCTTTTTTGTAACATAAACAACTTAATGTCAGACGCTTTTTGTCCTTCAGTTCAGTGATAATAACTTGCGAGCTCTAAATACAATAGTTTTTTATATTTTTCACCGGAATCTCTAGTGGATGATTATTTCAAGAATATCTGAGATGTTCATTTCAACTTTTCTTTTCTCATCCCTAGTGAATATTTCTATTCTTGTAACCCGACACAACCACAAACATATAACCCCATGCCTGAACTTGTAGTGCCACTGTTCGTATACGTGAATTTGTTTCTCATACCAGTATTGATTTTTGTGTCCTTTCTCACAGGATTATGTTGTTACGGAACAACACTCTGAGAATTGTTAACTCCAGCCGAGCGGATGAGGGGAACTATGTGTGCCGGGCAGAGAATCAGTTGGGCTCGGCAGAGATGACTGCCATACTGTGGGTAAAAGGTAAGTGATGCCCTGGGGGCCTTTATTTTCTGCCAAATTAGCACAAGTCGGCCACCAGTAAACAGTCCCCAATGTCATTTCCCCCCCCCACACCTTTGCTCGGTTGCCAAGAAATTTACTGTGCTCGCTCAACCGTGAACCAAGGGCTCTCACATTCAAGAATCATATTACAAGGACACACTTGAACAGCATAAAGGCTTCTGTCTCATAGCTTCACACAGTGTAGGTCAGAGCCAAGCGGGATATTTATCTGACAAAGGTGAGTGTTTTTGCCCAAGTTAGGGTTGGGTTCCGATGATTGCTCTAGCAGTGATGTCACAGTCAAATGCAGCTGCTTGACGCTAGCTTTGGGTTAGCCTGAGGTGACAGTGTAGCAGCTTTGTGCTTCCAGACGCCATGCGTGTGGAGCTCAGCCCGAGCAGAGTGGAAGTGACCGTGGGGGAGAGCGTGGTGCTGAGCTGCAAGGCCACGCATGACACATCGCTGGATGTGGCTTTCCAGTGGTTCTTCAACCAGAAACCAATCAACTTTCAACAGGACGGCGGCCACTTTGAATACATCCAAACAGTAAGAGCGAGAGTAAGAGCAAAAGTAAGACCAAGAGTAAATTTATCGTATTGGTTATGGTCTATTTATCTACCTTTTAATCTACCTGTCTGTCTATCTAGCTCTGTCTTTCCAGCTGTCTGTCTATCTGTTTGCCTCTCCGTCTGTTATCCATTGTAGCTTTATCTGTCTGTCTGTGTTCATCTGTTAAGTGTAAACAGATGGCGGTTTTGTTTTTGTTTTGTTTTTTTTATTAATTTAATTGACATCATGCCCAAATTTATTGATCTTGTAGATCAATGTATTACAATGAAAATTATTTACTTTTTTACTTCAATTGTGCTACTTATTGCACCAAACTCTTGTTGTACCCACTGTAAGATCCAATTCTACTAAAGGTCAGACAACCTTGCGTAGCATCAAAGCCCTGCATTGAATCACATGAGCATGTATATCAAAGCCTAGTCTATTGTTTTGAATTTGCAACTGTGAAATTGTATCTTTCTGTGAAAATGAAAACACAAATAGAGACTAACATACTGGCTTTGAAAGGTAATAAAGTCTTAAACAAAGTCAGCAATGATTCTGCATAAGAAATAGGAAAGAAAATAATGAAGAACAAATTATCCTAAAAACTTTAATATGGTGAAATTGTCTGTTTTTTAATGTGCATTGTTGCTTTTATATACATGTAGCATGTACAGTACCACCACCTTCTGTCTTATCAAACTGTGGCTTTGTAAAAACATAATTACACATCCGTTCACAACAACTACAACAGGCAGGTCCCTCCTGAATTGTAAGAGCCTAATTGTACCCAATCTTTTTCTTTGTCTGTCTGTTTGACTTTAGTCATTTAGAGTAGGTCAATAGATACAGGGTCAAGGATCCTCTGAGGAAGATGTATGAATTCTCCAAACAAAATATACCCAAACAAAGAAGCATTTAACCTTTGCCTCCCCTCAGCATCAATGTTGCATTGTTAACTTTGCCATTTCACCTTCACCTTAACCCTTCTTTCTTTTTGCTTAACCTTTTCTGACCTCCATGTTTAACTTGTTTCTTATTACCAGTTGCATTGTTTTCCCTGGTTAACCATACAAGGTGTACTGTGGGATTATGTTCAACACAGTATACACATATTGCAATCTCTGTTCTGCATTGTGCAAATAGATATACCATACTAGTTGGTTCACATAAGCTCTCAGTAGTCAACAGTTAATGTTAGTAACTGAAGGATAACGTTGCTAAACATATGCCAAATGCCACTGGTAAATTTCTCATTTTGATGTATCCCTTTTTAGATGCATTGCTTTGAATATTAAGAAGAAGCAAAGCATGAGAAGCAAATTCATCTATAAGATTCAGATATCACTTCTGTCATCTTGTGCACTAAACAGTTTGAGGCTTGTTTCAACAAGATTAATATAGTTTTATACTTTTACAAAGCAACATCTTATATTTCCCCTCTCTATAATATAAAAAATCATTAGTGTCTAAATCATAAAATGAAGTTGAAAACAAATTTGCTTGAGAGTGGGGAGTCATGTGTATGTCACTATTCCTTTGTCAAAAGTGGATGTTAAAATCACATCTGTTCTGATGTGTCCTCTGCTACTACCCATGCTCTGGAGAGAAAGTATTTGCAGTGACAATCCTTTACAGGCACAACAGATTCCTGGCTGATGCATGGTTTGTAATTTTAATCAGGTTTCGTGCTAAATAGCTGCCTGTAGACCTTGAATTATTCCCAGTCTTGCCTTAGGCATTTCTCATTTCAACACAGAGAAAATACGGATAGCTGAAGAATGTAACAGCAAGCAAGCACCTGAATTAAACAGGAATCTCTCAAGCCACATGAGCCTCTACAAGATGTAAAGGAATAACACCTTTTTGTGTCAAGTACATTTAGGCTCCTAATACCTACCTTTTTTATTCTTTTCTTTCCCAATCACAGCAGTCTTCGACAGTAGATCTGATGATCAGGAGCATCTTGTTGAAGCATGCTGGGAAGTATGGGTGCCGGGCCCAGACCAGTGCTGACACTGTATTTGCTGAGGCTGAACTTCTTGTTCGAGGTGAGCTGTCAGTGTGCCGGCACACTGTAATGTCTTTTACGCTGGAGGCGCTGACTCACTGTCCCCCTTCAGCTGAACCATTACCCTGAAACAGAACTCACCTTATAGTCAGACTGAATTATTCTTCTAAAGTTTATTCCAGTGGAAATTAAGACTAAGAGCCAATCTCCATTTTTTTGTGTGATTAAAAATGTGAAATAATGTTCGCTTTATCTGTTTTAGGAAATTAACCCACACTCTGTTAAGTGCAGCAGATTTGGGAAGTTGGTTAATTACATCAGACATTAGAAATTTGCTTCTGGTGTAGGCAATTGAACAATGACTATTTCCACATTATTGCCCCCTTTTGACCATCTTGACTAATTTTTTATAGTCACTGTGAGTATGGCTGGACAGACGGTCTGTCTGCATGAACAAGTTTAATATGTGCTGTTAAACAGATTGGCTGAATTGTCTAGTGATCAGATTCAGGGGCTGCTTCTCATTGTTGCTGATAATGTAACATAACGATTATTGTTAACACAGCTCCTGGTCTATTCTTGACCAACACACCAAGTACATTTTTTTAAATTGATTTAAGGCTGTGTGATACCTCATAACTTTTTTTCAGAAGACTTGACAGGAAAGAACAGTCATCCAACCAAAACTAAACTGAGTTTTTTGCTTAGTGATTGTGTATAGTAGGAAGTTTAAAAATTATTTGAGGGAATAATTTCAAGTAAATTGTCATGAAAAATAAGTTGTGGAATTTTGTTTTACATGTTAGATTTTCCTAATAAAATGGCAGCAGAAGACACTTTAAACCATATTTTTATTATATTATATTATTTTTCCAAATAATTTGATCTATTTGTATCTCAGAAACATTCATATTAATATACTGTTAACTTCAGCCATCTCCAGTATAGTATTTGATATATTTAATGAATGTCATTTAACATTAAGCGCTAATAGAGGGGAGGATTTATGCCATGGTGTTGAGCACACTAAAAGGAGGGTGCTGTTCCTATAGTGACACAAAATGCATCTTAATGTCCTGAAATGCAAATGCACCTTTCAGTGCAACCTTCTAATGGGCACTTTTTGGGGACACAGTACATTGGTTTTCATTGAGCGTACCAGCTGCCAGCTTTTCATTTACAGCTGTTTCCCCTTGAGTCCTTAGACGTTTGCTACACTTGCAGATTACTTTTATTTCTGAAGACTGAGGTAAACATATGTTCAGCTGTATTAAAACACAGGAAGGCCTACCACACAGTCATGCTCAGCAGAACTGGCAAACTGCCTTCAAAAACCCCCAAAAGAAAGCTTCAATATCCCTTAATCAGCATGAAATCCTTGGCAGCAGATCTGTGTCAGCCCAAATCCTGATTCAGTTTAATATGTTGTGTTCTTGTTTGTTGTTTGTTTGTGCAAAGCTTACAACAGAGAAATTATGTTGTCACCTTATGCATAGAGCTGCTTTTTAGTGCATGCATGGATGCATCCATTAGTGTATCTAATAATAATGCATGATGAAGACATCACAATATGGACCAGCTTAGAGTTAATACAGAGAGAAACCGAGCTTGTTTTTGTTCTTCCTTTATGTCTTGACATTTCTGAAGCATTGGTGGTTCAGCCGTTCAGACCTGTAATTTAATCTCTGTTACCTAATCATCTTTCCACCAGGTCCTCCTGGACCTCCTGGAGTGGTGATTGTGGAGGAGATCACAGATACCACAGCCACCCTGTCCTGGACCCGTGGCCTGGACAACCACAGCCCTATCAGCACCTATAATTTACAGGCGCGCAGCCCATTTTCATTAGGCTGGCAAACTGTCAAAACAGGTAATCAATAAGGAGCAAATTGCAGCATGTACTCTGTGAGGTTAATGCGGGGCCATATACAAAGGCCTTAATCCTGCCCAAAGTCAAGTACCGAGATGGTGAATCAGCCCAACTAGAGCAAGGTTACTGGTTTCAGGAGACATAATTACTTTTATACTATAACACAACCAGCCTTTGACATCTCATCTAGAAAGTAATGGATAAAGTGTCTTACACTGTTCTCTGGACCAAACTCTGACCAAGACTTTCTTCTCAGATGCACGTTTAAGAAGTTGAATTACAGTTCTCTTTCAAGATGTCATTTTATTGTCTGAGCTTGGCTGTTTTTCAAAAGAACTTAGCAAAAAGTAATTTGAGCTTATATCAAATGTCATTGCTTTGAATTTTATTCTGTGTCATATCACCCGTTAATGGGAAATTAACCTTTTGGGCTTGAATTATAAGACTTATCTATTTTCATTTAGTGTAAATGCACTTTCACTGCTTAAAAAATGAATTAGCTTCTATTTTCTGTACCTTGACAGAAAAACCATCAATTACTATTACTTAGCATTAAAGGATGAAGGCTTGCTGAGCATTGTGTGTAATCCATCTTAATATGCCGTGTGATAATAATAGCAGAGTTTAAGGTGTGATAATGATTCATCCCCACAGAAATATAAATCATACTTTGTATACACTCTTCTCACATCATGTCTGTTCAACCACATTTAATTCGATAAAGCACAATTAGGACTCTGTGATGTATTGTCAGTGTTGAACTTGTTAAGATTAGCATAAAGGGGATTGGGCTTTTAGCTCCCACTCCTTGCAAACACAGTTATCAGCTCATGTTTGAAGAGCAGCTTGCTTGACAGAGTGGTCTCATTGTGAGCTGCTTTGGATGATAAGAATGTAAGCTCCACTGCTTCACTGAATGTTGCCTTAGTTAGCATAGAGAGACCTTTGGTTCATTTGTGACACGGATATGCTTTCAGTATGTTTGTTTGTTGTTGCAGGATCAATATTGACACTCTTTGATTATGACAGCCCTGAAGAAACTAGATTAGTTATGTTACCTGATTGTAATTCCCTTTAAAATACATTCATAAAACTTTATTCCATCTCAGGATGTAATATATATAATTTCTTAGCTCTCTGTAGATACTGTGAAAATTGATTGAAGTCAGCTTCCCCCTATGTAATGAGTTGTACCTCCAAATGTGCTCTAAAGCTGCTAGTAAGCTGTTCAGACATCAAAACAACATCACATACCAGGTTTCAAGAAAATTGCGTATCGTCACAAATATCCCAGCAAATCTGAAGAGAAGGTGTAATACCGTGCAGTCCCTAAGAAATAAGACAATGGCTTTTTTTTTTTTTTTTTGGCTCTCTACTCTAGCACCATGGATTTTAAATGAAACAATGGGTATGAGGTTAAAGTGTCAACCCACAGCTTTTACACACAGATGTAAACATTGTAGGAATTATCCTTCAATTTTAGGGAACAGAAAGTAATTAGTCAAGCTGACACAGTCTTGTAAGTCATATGAAGTCATCATATTTAACCGTATATATAATCCGTTGCAGTTAATGACTGTCTGTAGGCTACAGACATCAGCAGTCACTTTGTAGCTTCCCTGGTGATGCTCTGCCAGCCATCATAACTCCTTGCTTGCTTCAGTCTGGCCCTAAGCAGAAAAACCTGCCTCATCTGTATTGTTAAGCATAATTGTCCTGCTGCTCTATTTCAAGAGATTTCATATCCAAAGGTCTATGGTTCCTACCGTTTTTACACAGTGTGCATCTGATCACTTAAATACCCTTAAAGCCTTAGCGTTCGTACTTAAGGCAGTGTATGTTTTGCATGCAAAACATATTGTGAACAAAAGTGCAGGAACTGTTATGTGGCATTTGTCCTGATTACCAACACTGTTGTCTGCAGACCCAGACCCAGTGACAGGGGACATGGAGTCAGCCATGGCTGTGGAGCTCAACCCCTGGGTGGAATATGAGTTCAGGGTTGTGGCCAGCAATGCAATCGGGACCGGAGATCCCAGTGCACCTTCGAGAGGAGTTAGGACTAAAGAAGCAGGTAATCCTCTAAAGCCATCAGTGCTGCATATGCACTACATTCAAGTCACATTTTGACACACATAATCACCCGGTAGTCCAGCCACTTATTATATAATGTGCAAATTCCAGCTGATGATTTATTGTAGCTAGAGAGCTTACAGTATACCACCTTATATTCCCATTGTTAATATACTCAATTTTAATTGGGCAAGAAGTTGAAAATAAGCAGCTTACATGAATTTCAACAAGTTTAGTGTTTCTGCTAAAGCAGCCAGTCCTTTAATGCCCAGAGGCAAAGACACAGCAGAATACACTATTTATGGTGAGCAAAAATTGACGGAGACAGGCTGGAAGAAGCGTGCCGCTTCACTAACTGCTCGTTTCTCGTCTATAAAATGTAATAATTACAAAGGTCATTGGTCATTTGGAAGTGGCTTATTTAATCTGTCCTATCTCTTCAGCATAATTAGCAGACTAATTACTGTATCTACACACAGTTGTGGTAATCCATCCTTAAAGTTATAATCCATGATCCAAATGTCAACAAAAGGGTACAAAATTCAAAACACAGCACTGGAACCTGCTCTCACTCATATTTTAATGCAGGCACAAACATAAAACACAAAACATTTTAATCATTATAAGAAAGTTTACAATTTCAATTTAATTCTTGTGCATTCCCATCTTCAGTTTTGAAAAACATTTTGAAGTGAATTTGTAGTGCTGGGTCAGTGATGCAGTGTTAACCTTTCTGTTTCAACAGTCCCGTCAGTGGCACCAGTGAACGTCAGTGGAGGGAATGGCCGCAGGCATGAACTGGTCATCTCGTGGGAGGTAGGTCCTCTGCCAAACTCCCTCTGTAGCAAACGTGACTATATATGTGCAAAAAAACAAATGTCGCAGTGCGTCTGGTGCCTCAGTTAAACAAGCTCAGATTTTTGTTGAATAAACAGAAGTTAATGGAAGTCTAGCCTCACTTAAAATAAACTTTGCAGTTTCCTGTTGCATCTAAAAATGTCAACAACATGACATTCAAACTGTGGAATGTTTTCAAAACTCCTCAGAAAGGATATAATAATGATATATCCACTAAATAATAAATATATTTATGAGAGAGGGCTTTAAGGTCCTTGAATTTCAAAATGCTTACTGTATAAAACATTATCTTGTTTTTTTAAAGATACTGAGGCAGAAACTGCCACATTTATTATACTGAAATTCAAATTCCAATTATATTTATAATTAAACAGGATTTTAAATTGGAAACTTTACTATCTATTCAATTCAGTTTTATTTTTACAGCACAAAATCATAACAGAAGTTATCTCAGGACACTTGTCAAATAGAGCAGGTCTACTTCTTATAAAAAATTATTCACAGAGACCCAGCAATTCCATCTGTACTGTAATTAAAATGAAAAATCTATGTGATTCCAAGTAAATCCAAGTAAGTAGATTAGATCAACATTTCAAGTGCTAAATGTGCTTGTTTATTATAAAAACCTGCCTTGAATGTCAATATGAAAGGGACTCCATATGGGAAATCATTTGTAGTTATATGCTCTGTTTTCCAGTAAAGTGCATGGCTGTGTTGCATTATGTAAACAGAACCGTGTTAAACACAATCTTATGAGGTTTGTTTCTGGTTTTCAGAGGAGATGCACAGTAATCAGTCACTCTAAAGTAACTAATCCACAGGTAATGAGACAGACGATGAAATAGAAATTTGTTCAGCTATATGTCAGAAAATACACTCATGTTTTAGGGAGCTTTTGCCAACTTGTGTAAAAATATGACAAAGTCTAAAATGTAACTTTTAGGTAACAGAAATAAATATAATCACGCACCCTCAAAGCAGGTTAGGTTACAGTAATCTGCAGTATCACAGTGATAATAATAAGTATGCTGAAGACCTGCAGGCCAGATTGAAGAAGAAACAAGTTGATGTAATAATTGTAATCACCAGTGCAAGTCTATATTAGCTTGCTAATAACCCCAAACAACATAATAAACTACAGAATATTTTTCATTATGTGATTTATGAGTTTATTTTTATGAAATTAACATCTTGGTCCTATAAGCCAGTGTTTCCCAACCTCTCCTGCTTGTGACCCTCTGAAACAAAGCAGTGCCTGCGGTATTGAAAATCCTGGGCATAAAAGCACCAAATGATGATTATTTTTAGGATTTTTACATGATTAAATATGGGAAGAAACCTATATGGTGTGAATATTCATCATTTAACTTGAGAAAGTATGACTCACCAAGACTACAAATGTGATAATAAATCTGTATGTTGGGGGAATTTATCATCACCCACCCACTGCTAAGAACATCTCTGAACCCGTAGGTTGAGAATCAGTGCAGTAATCCAAGAGTGGAAACAAGCCCACTGAAACAAGGTTCACTTTAAACATCTGCACTGAAAGTACAGCTTTGCCATTGTTCCCTTAGGTATTCAACTGTCACTAAGTAATAAATCCTGCATGAGAATGTGACTTAATAATCATGTAGAGCCTGCTACTGCACGTACCAATCATTAAAAACCTTCACTTTTTGTTGCCTGGGAATACTTGTCAGACATTATTAAAGGGGATAAAGCATGGTTGATGGACGACGCTAGTCCTTGTGGTTTCTAAGCTTGAAGGAAACGGTCTAATGATTTTAAGATATACAGATGATTGCATTAGTTTACAGTCAGCTGCATTCGCTTGAGGTGAGATATCATGAGTAGCTCCAGAGTGTGCTGGGGACCTGTGTTTGCTTGCCGTCCTTATTCCCAGAACCATCAAAGTGGGATCTAATTAAAACATAGAGGAAAGTTTCAGCAGTTCGAGTGAGAAAGTGATGAGAGTAGTCAGTAAAGTAAAGTCAGTCAGTAAAATGTAGGAAGACAGATGTATAGAGGGATTTGCTGGAGTATTTAAAGAACAGTTGTACATAGGAGGTTGACATTTCCTTTTTTAAACACCTTAGACCCTTCTTCAAAAAAAATATTCTGTGCCTGACAAATCATTTGCATCAAATGTACAAATAGACACTGACATATGTTCTTGACTGTGATTTCTCTCATTTATATTTTTGTGGTTTTATCCACTTACCTCAGCTCTGAAATATGGTTTCTTCTCACCAGCATCATGTGTCAACACCAAACAAACCCCCCAAAAAAACCATCCCCAACAGTAAACAAAAATGTTGGTATGGACAAAGAGTCCATAAATAGTAGTCCATTAAAGGTATATTAGGTAAGAGTCAAAGCAAATGTTCAACTAGCAATGTTCTAAATGGTTGCATTTAACACAGCTTGGTGTTTGAGATATAAGCTTTAGTCTAATTAAAGTAGTTACTGTATGCTGTGATTGAATTTGGCTTTAGTCAGTGTTCCCTCGCAAGTCTTAATATGTTGCTGAATAATTGTTCTTAAGTCAGAAAAGCATGCCTGCACTTCCTTGATCAGGAGGCGCAGCATCCAGCTAAAAAAAGAAGCACACTCAGTTGTTTTATACTGTAATGCCACTACTGTGGCAGTCCTTTTCAGCACCACAGCTGCAGAGACAAAAGTAAAATAACCCAGGTGGGGATGCACTGAACTCCCAGTCAGCCATGACCTTTCTGATAGAAAAAGGCGAGAGAGATGCACATTATATCCAGTGGGATAACACAAAGGTGGAGGTTGTAGTGTTCATAGTACTGGGAGAGGTGTGAGGGGGCTCAGGTGAGCCCCCATTATTAGGGCAACGTGACCTTTTTTCCCATTTGAAAGAGAAAATGTGGTAGACCCATCTGCTGCAATATTCTACAGGATTTTCTCTCACTTGCTTTCACTAAATTTTAATTCCATTTTGGAGGTATTGAGCAGGTTGAGCCTGGAAGAAAGACTTAATCTATTCCAACGAAGGAATAAACCTGACGGGAACGTGCTTCGGTCCACTAGGGCAGGATGCTTTTCCACAAGATCAGAGGTTGAAATAGATGTTGTACAAAGGAAGCACCTGTATGAGATAAAGATTTATTTGTCCCAAGGGAGTCATAGCAGCAGCAAAAATACAATACAAGCCATAGTATAACAACTAGAGCCCAGTCAAATGAATACACAAAAAACAATATGTTGATAATTTTCCCAAGACAAACCTCCAGTTGACCTGAAGTAATTACTATTGACAGACTCATAGATTGTCTGTGGATGCAGTCTACAGACATGCATTTTCAGCACATGTGCATGGTGTTTTCATTGCCTGCCATTGGCTCTCCTGGCTGTAAGACTCAAAGAGTGTGTGCCAAAGTGTTGTTGGTTGTGCAAATTGTCATTACAAGCAGGGCAAAAACTCCTGCTTCATCATTTACAGTAGCATAACCCCAGGATCACAGCTCATTGCATTTTAAACAGGGGCTCACTTTATTCTGTTGGAAATTTGTTTTACCATCCAGGGTCTGGAGTTTGAGGGCAGAACTTGGTCACAATTGTGAAATTTGCTGACAAAGCTGAAAGAAGGCCAGCTGGGCCATGTATAACACGGAGCTGCATCAGCCGGGCAAGTGATTAAGATGTTGTGAATTTACAATTTGGTCCCACCAGAGAGGCACAATGATGATTAACCTTGAATCTCAGAGTCGCTCCCAATAAATCCAGGGTTGTTTATGAATATCTGTTTGTAATCTCAATCTTGACAATGGTTGTACAAAACGTAATAAATCTCACACCAAGTAAAGAGGATATTAGTCTGAACTGTTTCCAAGAGGACAGCTTGGCTCTCAGCCAGGTTTAGGGCACAGCATGACCAGAATTACTATGAGCAAAGCTGAGAATTTGCAATTGAGATCAGTTGAAGGATATATTAACAGGGGAACAGTGAACAGATGTGGAAGCAACTGACAGTTATTCTTGTAGTTATTAAGTATGGGAGCCCAACTGCCACTGGGTAGATAACCTTCACATGAGGAGAAGTGCCCCTCAGTGGCACATTATAGGGGATAATGTCCATTCCAGATGGGATGGTGTTTGGTAGTAGACCATTTCCTATTAATAACTTAAGAGTGTCATTAGAGTAGCTAGTATAACACAATGACAACATCCTTATGAATAAATACAGGACCCCATGTTGGAAGAACCATCGAGGGATACTTAAAGTTACACAAAACCATGATTGGTGCTTGGTTAGACACAAAGCCCTGATAAAGAGTCCTTTCAAGCCATGCATGAACTTGAGTAATTACAGAAAGTGATTCTTAGTGAAAAAATTTCTTAACCCAGAATTCTTAAGGATTCTCTTGATGAGACTCGGGAAACTGTAAAATCTGCAGCTTTTCTGTTACAAACCTCTATGATGAGAGCAATTTGTTTCTTCAAGTACCTCAGCATAAAGAAAGTGTGAACATTATTTAGTCTGCTCATTTGTTTTTATTCAGACAGTTTTGCAATCAGATCAATTCACTTCTGAAGTACAGAGTGCATAATAGTGAAAAATTAAAGTACTACTTAAAAAATTATGAAATGATGTTTCCTCGCTCCCCATTGTGGGGTACAATAATTGGTCACCCATCAATAAGTCTGTCAGTTCAGAGTATCACAGGACAATGCTCCACTTTGTGCAGTGTCCTCCTTTTGGTACTTTTTAGTCCTTTTAGCTCTGCCCTATTTCTTCTCGTTTCTGCTAACTGCTTTTGGAAATAAATCAGGACTTTGTCAGTGATCAATGGAGATGGATATTAAAGGAGACGGAGCAGGAATGTTAGCCCTTTTTGGCAGTCGAGGCATGTGAGCGCATGGCAGTTCTGCCTCTCCAATCATCTGTGGAGAGTTGTCAGAGCCTGGACGGCCATGGTGGGCAGGGTTATTAAGCAGGATGAATGACTTAACAGTCTCCGCAGCTTCATTCAGCCGTCTCATTAGAGTCGACGGTGAGAGACTGCTTTTTCTCGGGGAGCCATTGGGAGGACCATTAGTGTTGCCCCTACAGTCACCATCACTGAGCCCAGCAGGCCCCACAATTTCATCCACAAGACTTACCTCAGTTGTCTCAGCCTCCTAACTGTGTCCACATTTACAGAATCTGTGCCTATCTCAATTCCCAAACCCACAAGTGTTTCTAGACATAACTAGCTAATTTGTTCATGCTGTTTTTTAAAGACCCATATTCCTTGGCATCTCTTTCAAACCATTGCCAGCTCCTATAATAACTTTGATGGAAGCTAATTCATTTTCACTGATCATCCCTATAATTAGGCAGTCATGGTGAATGGTCGTTGTTGAATGAAATGTGAACTACATCTCCATCCACCGCCAATCCCCCTGTAGACTAGATGGCTAATTTGGGTGATGCCTTCAGGGGACAATATTACTTTGAAGCCTATGCAAATCAACACATTACAGCGCGGGCTGTTTTTGTTGCCAAGAACAGGTGTACAGGTGTTTGTCATTTATTAAATTTAGCCAAAGATTTAATCCCTGCAGCTCACATTTTAATTAAATTCTAGCTCACTTAATAAATTGGCATTTGATTTGATTAAGCACCGAGCAGCTGTGGAAGACAGCGCCCTGTTTCACCACTTCAGGAAAAGCACAGATAAGTATTGAAGCCAGCACACCAAACCTGTGTCCCAAAAATCCCCCTGTCAGACACGGAAAAGATAAATAGCTACATAATGGGCACAACTGAGCCAGATATGATTTGTTTCCATTACTCAAGACTGACTGCATCTTTATTAACACTGGCAGACAGTTACAGTAAATGGGTAGTAAATTGAAAGCTGGTTATAGTGGCGTTTCAAAGAGGAAAAAGTCATGTTTTGTTGAATAAGAGTCTTACTTGCACAGAAGAAGTTGTTGAAATGAGAAAATGTGCAAATAATGCTCCTTCAGTCACAGAGCTGAAGTGCTGGTAAGTCAGTTCGCACTTAATTTCAGTGAAGGACACTCCTGGATGATAGATTCTCTCTTTCCGTTGTTTTCAGCCTGTATCTGAGGAGTTCCAAAATGGTGAGGGCTTTGGGTATATCGTTGCATTTCGTGCCAACGGAACCAGAGGCTGGAAGGAGAAAATGGTGACTTCAGCAGACTCTACAACGTATAAATACAGAGACGAGACGTTCCCTCCCCTTACTCCGTTTGAAGTGAAGGTCGGAGTGTACAACAATAAAGGAGATGGGCCGTTCAGCAAAGTTGTCATCATCCACTCTGCTGAGGGGGGTGAGTTCATACTTGTGGTTGCATGGATTTAAAAAGTACAGAGGGAATAGTTTTTCGGGCATTTTATGATTGTCACCATTTTGACTTGTTTCACAGAGCCGAGGGAAGCACCATCTGATGTGAAAGCTTATATCATTTCTTCATCGGAAATAAGGGTCACTTGGAAACCCCCCAATCCTGGCCCCGGAAGGCCGAGAGGATATGAGGTGCTTTTAAATTGTCTGCGTGTGCTTGTGTGCGTTGGTGTCTATGCACGAACATTTACAGACAGTATCTGATACTATTGCACAAGCATACTTACCTTTGTGCATGATTTGAGGTTTGATAACAGTATAAAGTCATTCCTTTCTGCTAACAGGTCAGCTACTGGAAAGACATTGAGCAGGAAGAGTTGGGGAAAAAACAAAGAACTGTGAAAAACGAAACATCCATGGTCTTGACAGGACTAGAGGGCAACAGTCTGTATCTCATCACAGTAAAAGGCTTCAACAGCATCGGCCAGGGTCCTGCCACTGCCGCTGTCACAGCCAAGACCAGGAAGGCCCGTGAGTGCAGCACTGACACTAATCACGTAACACTATATATGGAATAGAGGCTACCTGTTAAGTTCGCCCTAAATCCCCTTGTAAAAAGTGTAGTAATTGACCTAGTTGGTTGAAACACTGTGTAAAATCTGTTTGAATTTGCAACCTGAGTGTTCTCTCCGTAGCTCCTGCTCAGCCTCCAACCAACCTCATGTGGATTCAAGAGGGCAACAACGTGTCTTTAAGCTGGGACCCAGTGAAGGCAAAAGACAATGAATCGGATGTCATCGGGTACATGGTAATGATCAATCTCTAAAGTCACGTTTGTTCGTAACATTAAAAAACGTTCATGCAAAAACTCTAGATGTGCCAATTAAGAAGAACTGCTAGTTGCAAATGTATTTTTTACCACCATACATAGAATTATTTAATGATGTTAATGGTTTATGTCATGGCCTTTAGTTTAAATTGTTTTAACTATGTTTCTGAGAGAAAAGGTTTTTACTGACAGTTTGGTATGTCAGCCAGCTCTAAATACTACAGCCCCATGGTTTCCAGCCAGTGAGAGTGGCAGGTTTAGAACATTTCATCACTGCAGTTGAAAACAAAATATCAAACAGAAGTGAATTTATTCAGTATTAAGCAGCATCTGAAAGTGAATCAGTTTAAACTGCTGTATATGTTTTAAGGATTCTCTGAAGTGTAAACCTTAGCTTCAGCTTGCCGTTATTGGCATAGACAACAAAAACGTGCTCAGTAATTGGACATTTGGACTAACATTTGCATGCAGTTTTATAACTGACTTTGTATTTAAAGAACTTGAAATTTACTTGCACATCTCTTATGCTGTTGATTAAAATGGGAAATTGTCCTGCAGGTGTTGCTCAAACAGGAGGGCAGAGGTCACAACCAGGTGACAAGAACCATTAACCCTTCCACCATGCTCTCACTGCCAGAGGGAGGCACCTATATCATTGAGGTGCGCGCCCTCAGCGAAGGGGGAGAGGGAGCCGTCAGCTCCCAAGTTCGTGTGGTCACCTCCTCCGGTAAGCTCAAAGCTAGTTAGTCGCCTCCCCTCTAAGCCACACGGTCCATTACATGACCTCTGAAATCCAATCTCCATGCACAGGCTGTTTTCTCTTTGTAGCAATCTTATGTTCTGCCCTTAATTGAGTCACCGCAGCTGTTGTGCGAGCCAAGTTTTCTTTGGCTAATACTGTTTTAATTACCTCGCCCACACAAGCCTTCCTACTCTTGCACAGCCAATTAACTTCTAAGCAACAGGACGAACAGAAAGTTTGCAGCCGTGTGTGTGACATGACCAGCCAGTTTCTCATGGCAATGGCTTGCTGTTTTTTCCCTCCTGTCTGTTTTTCTTTGCTTTCCTTTTTTCTTCCTTAAGTTTCTTCCCTGCGCCAAACTCCTTAAGACCAATTCATTCGAAAGATCAATAGAGTTATTTAGCATTAAAAATGAATGCATATCCGGCATTTTGTTTCACATCTTTGTTTTCATCCTTATTGACTTTCTCTCTCTCTCTCTCTCTCTCTCTCTCTCTCTCTCTCTCTCTCTCTCTCTCTCTCTCTCCCTCCCCTCTTCTCTTAGGTGTGCGAGCAAAAAGCAACCAGTGCTCAGTTCACCGCCTGCCACAGAGCCTAACATGGACAGCACTGCTCCTGGTTCTACTGGTGCCTTCAGCTTCTTGGTGAGGCCACTGTGCCAATCCTCATTTTCGTGGAGGGAGCCACCAGTCTTCCGCTCCCTTATTCCCTCTGACTGCCTGCTCGCTTTGGCCTTACCCATCCCAAAGGTCCCGAGGCCTGCCAAAGGGGGTTTAGTCTGCCAGTTAACATGCAGCTCTTCAGAGGTCGTCCTTTTGAGTTCCCTGTTCCTTTTGAGGCTCTGGACATTTTGATTTGCACAGTTCTTTCCAACATCACGGTAGTGTTGTACTGTAGTGTACATTGTGTGGAAAGATTTGTTTAATCATTTACTTTAACATCATGTGTTCCTCTCATTGACTGGCATCTAACCACTTCCAGACGGCCCCTACAGCTCTGGGGCTCTGCAGAGCGTGAACAATTCCTCGAAAGCTGCTGTGGTAGTAATACAGGGATCAGCCGGCCTGTTTCTTTTCATTACTTATCTGCATCAATTTACCCCTTGGCTGCCTAACAAGCAATGCAGCAGAAGCTCTGTAGAGATAAGTGCATTGTTTTCTTATTCACACATTGAGGAGAAAAAAGTTTTTTATGGAACCAAGAATCTTACTATTTCCAGACTTGCTTTTTGTACATTGTGTTACCTTTAGAGAAAAAAACACCGTGGTGTGTGTCAGCTATGTCAAATTCTCTGTTTTTGGTAGTGATTAAGCAATGCTTGGTGATACAGTTTGTTGACTGTTGGATGTATGGAAGTAGGAAACAGGTACCTACCTGTAGTGCCCAAACACATCAATAGACAAAGACAACTCTGTACGGACTCTTGGTATCAGTACAAATAAATGTGATGTATATTTTTTAAATGCTTGTTGTTTGTAATTTCTAAGTTTTAGAAAAAAAAAAAATTATGAAAATGCACTTGGGCTACAAATAACAATTGTTATCATTATTGATCAATCTGTTGATTATTTTATAATGCAGCAATTTATCATTTTGTCTACACAATGTTTCCCAAAGCCCAAGGTGACATCTTCAAATTGTTTGCTTTGTCTGGCCAACAGTCCAAAGATTTACAGTCAAATAAAACCCCAAAAAAGCATCAGATTCCTGTATTTTGAGAGCGTGGAGATGGAAATGTTTGATATTTTTGGTCAATACATAGCAAACGATTAACATAAAAAAAACTAAATGTATCACAACAACACAGAGTCACCATGATGCTTTCATTCTATGTTGCATCTGTAATTGTGAAAATGTTGCTGGTCAGTCAGACAGTTCTGCACTTTGAGACACCTTTCCCAAGTGTTATGTAAAGTCTGGGTTGATTGAATTCCACACACGTGGCATTAGAGGCCACAAAACTTTCTGTGATAAAAGAACCACTGCAGAGCCAAATAGGGCAGCATCAAGAATATCTCTCCCTCCTCTCTGGCTCATCTCTTGCCTTGTCTGCAGTAAAAGCTTATCTCTCACTGGGCAGAAATCCAAATGAATTTGCCTCAAGTGTAATTAATGATAGAATGGAGATCTGTAGTCCTAAAGCCTGCTTGCTTGAGCAGACCTTTTTGCTTGCTCTGCCTCTAGCTCCCTGGACTCTCCATTACAGAGTCAGAGTAACCTGGCTCACCCGCTCAGGTTCAAACAAGGGTACCAGCTCAACCACAAGAGATAGGACCACACAGCAAAACAGAGGACGAACACTGCTCCAAGCAGTGTCTATCCCGTGGATACTCCTCTTCTTTCAGACCTCTCTGTTTTGGTTACATTCAGAGGGGGAGGATGAAGAGGTTGGTCTCCTCTTTCTAACTTGTACATCATTTCCGTCTGTAGTGCAAAGCATTAAGCTGTTTAATGTGGATGGAGGGGTTTTTGCGGTGCTTTTAGGCTGTTCAATGACGTCGGCTCAAACACATACCTCCACACAAGTGCTAATGTACCGACCTTTAATTATTCATGCAGCACCTGTCTGTGTTGGCGCATCTGATTTATGATAATGGATTATGTATCCTGCAAGGGGACCCATTTGGTTCAGAGAGCCAGAAGCTATAGTGTCAGCAATTAAAACATGAACTCCCCTTAGGTTAATGTCAGTGTCTGTGTGTGTGTGTGTGTGTGTGTGTGTGTGTGTGTGTGTGTGTGTGTGTGTGTGTGCACGTGAGTGTGTGCACGTGAGTGTTTGCTGGGATATACTGTACTTTTAGCAATCTACAGTATGTTACATTAGATGGTTTTAGGGATAATGTACAGTATATTGCTTTAGATCAAGAAAGACTTTTACAGGTCCGATTATCATACTTACAAAAGAAAAAGGTATTTTCATCAAGCTGTGGTTTATGAAACTTAAGCTGCTATTAATTATTATTAGTACTAAAATGTTCTTTTTTCACGGACTTGAATATGAAGGTCTTCTTATTTACTGTCATTATCTGTTTTATATTAATACTAAGGTTTGAGTCTCACTTTTTTCTTGCTTCTTTGTGTTTATGAAGCGGGAAGAGTCAAATACGTTTTAGGCTTAAGGTGTCACACTACACTGAAATTGAATAAACCTATTTCCTTGATAGGTTTGGCAACACCTAAGCTAACAGCAACCCTGAAGCCAAGGGATTCGACGTCTCTGCTCCAAGGACGTTTCAACAGGACAAACGCTTGCTGTTAGTTGAAGGACATATGCACCACTTCTATTGCGATATATTTTATTCACATATCAACAGAGATGGTCTATTCATGTGACACCACTAAAGTTTCTCTCCTTCACTCACTCCTGAAACTAAAACCATATACACAGGCATAGTGACCTATCTGTACCAAAACAAAAACTTTAAATATGATACCACAGCAAGCAGCTGCTGATACTACGTATGTCTCCATGCCCAAATGTCCTTTAGCCTTCTAACACTTACAAGTCAAGTATTAAATTGTCTTGGTGGCATCATTGCTGGAGTGTTTGCTCTGTGATTGAGAGCTGAGCTGTGACTTTGCTTTTCAGGCGGGTCACAGTTTAACACTCATCCTGAATTTGCCAGAAGAGTAGGGCCCTCCAACAGATGCTACAGTAAGAGGTAAACTCTAATATCCTACAGTAAGAGACCTTCTGAGTAGCATGTCATTTTCTGTCTTGCATTTGATGTTTTCATGTTTGCCCACGGACTGAGTTGCATTTACCAAAACTGTCACATCACAGTTTTGAGTTACAATTGTCAAGTTTTTCAACAGCTGCTACTGTAGATGACACTAAAGTGGTGAAATTAAATGGCAAGTTTGTCAGGGATTGGGGAAACATGTAGAATGGTGCAATAATGCAGCATGTCTGTGTGTCTACGTTGGTGTTCTTAGGAATTCAGGACCACTCACACATTACACTGAATTAAAAACCATAATTGTAGTTTCACCCTAATTCAATTTTGTCTGCAGTTTTTCTCAATACGCTTTAATTAAGTGTCCTCAATTCATAATTTTCTACCAATGTATTTCTGGTTAATGTTCTTATAGTATAATTAAAATCGTGTGTGTGATGTGAAACCTTCTGTGGTGATGAAACATTCTCCAGATAAGATCATTTCTAAATTGCTGAGTGAGATATCAACCGAGTTATTTTCTATCTTTGCTGTGGTACAAGACATTCTGTAGTTTTTGCTATATAAATGTAAAAATATAACTGTCGGGACTTCTGATACAGCTAACTAATTTGTGTTTGCTGTTGGAGGTTTCTGTGATGTTTGGATTTTCGGCCTGCTGGTCCCCCCCGGCAGTGGCAGGGATGGCAAAGAATGAGAATTAGGGAAGTGTGCCATGTTCTGTTGAAGACTGTGAACAGAGGGATTAAAGGGGCAGCTTTGCAGAGAGAGTCAACATCCAGCATTGTATTGCACTAGTCCAGTAATTATTGAAGTTATAATTGAAGTTGTCTTTTGACCTCTAAAACCAGCTGCACTGTCAGGGAGCCACAGTGCACAATGTGTTCTGCTGTTGAGCTTTGCAGGACATAAAGAAATCATCAGCCTTGTTTGTTTGTTTGTTTGTTTGTTTGTTTGCAGTTCCCTTATCATACCGTCAACAACTTATTCGTCAGACTGATATTCTTCCGTTTTGCCCCACTGAATGCCAGACAATGACTTCAGCTTGCAGGGTTATTATAGTTTTACATTTTTCATTAGTTTTTATTTTTATTTTGTTTTTCATTTTCAACATCTCATTTCAGTTTAGTTTTCATTGTTTTGGTTTTAGTTATTTAAGAAAAAAAAATCACTATTAGTTTTAGGTTTTCTATTATTTATTATATGTGGGGATATTTGTGAAGGGCAAGATTTAGAATGCCAGTGTGGATTTAGTGGCATCTAGCGGTGAAGTTGCAGATTGCAACCAACTGAACACTGCTCGTGTATTTGACAATCTGGACATGAAGCGTTTAGGAGAAACTACAACGGCTGCAAAACATGTAAGGCCCTATCTACAGCCAGTGTTTGGTTTGTCTTTATTTTTATTACAGTTAAGTCAAATATTTTTTTGAAGCTAGTTTTAGTGTGGGGGAACATAGCATGGATATTCCTAGTCCCAATTTTGGTGAAGCCCCTGACATTTCCTGTAGCATCACTCCAAGGGAAAAATGTACTCAAATATAAAAATCAAACTAGCTGTTTTGCGTTTAAGAGGATGAACCTGTCTTTGCTCCACCCTCAGGCTGTCCACTTTACACACGAGGTGTGTCGTGATGTAGCCTGCTACATTCATACTCCCACAGGAATAAACCCATGTGATTGTAATGTCCTGATGGCCTTTCCTCTAGCACACCTCTCAGGACAAACTTCACATTTTAGCTGCCTTACTGAGGCTTCACCTCAAGCTTTTCTGAGGCTATTCTGCTTGTTGTTTGTTGTGTTTGTGTTTGTTTTGTGGGCTCCAAAAAAGAGAAGTATGTTGTGGAACTAATGTTGGTTTTACATATCAGTTGTTGTCTCTGCAATATTTGAAAGAAAAGAAAGAACTACAGTATTTAGCCCTTAAGATTCCACAGCACAAGTACATTTGCATGTAAGGGTGGTTTTATTAGAGCCAGGAATTCAAAACACATTCTCCATCAAATATAAAGGATTTTAAGCTAATTAAAGATCAACTAGTTGCAGAATTTGGTTATATTTTTCTATAACAAATGCTCTTGCCTGTGTGATGGCAGATGGTGTACTATTAGAGAGAAACTTTTTTAAATATGCCAGCTAATTTGATATACTGTGAACCCTCCCTCATAAGAAATTAAAGTAGAAGTGCCCTGCTGAGAGGCCTCATTAGGGAGGCACATTTAAGAGTAAATCTGAGAAGAAAAAAGACAAATCCAGTTGATTAAACTTTCCACCCCTTGTGTTTTTTTATTCCCAAACATTTGCCAAATATAATACTGAAATGTTGTAATGGAATGCATTGTACAGCTCTATTTCCTCAAAGGTCTATTTCTATTGAAGTGAACAGTACTCTGACAAACCAAAAACTCAGCCTCAGAAAGCTTACCGTTATCGCAAGGCTATGAGGTTGGAATGAATTACACTATATAAATAACCTTGGCCTTTGCTGTTTCACGTCTATAACCACAAATATTTCCAATATGGCATGGTATGTCTAGCTATTCAAAAGAAATAAATATTTCCAAAATTTCAGGTGTAAATCCTCTCAGGAAGTAAAAGTCACATATGGTGATTTGTTCATAGGGACCTTGGAATTCAGCCTAACCCCTGCAGATTGGTGAAGGCGTGATTCAATTTGGAGATCCAAGCTACTTTTCTTCAGACCCATTGTGTGAGGAAATATAATGGGATGGTTTTGTTAATCTGGGGATAATCTAAGTGCAATGTATATAGGAGGATGAGGGTCG